ATTCTGGGGGGATCGGTGGCTCACCAATCGGTCCTGCACAGGACAGGAGGCTGAGAGAATTACAAGGGATGTTCAGGATCGACCATCCACATACCTTAGAAAGGGGAGGCGGTGTTGATAATCCCAGCATACCAAAGTGATGATCGACGCGCGTGCCGATGTTTGCAGCTTGTCCGACCGCATCAAGGGGACCCCAAGAGCCTTTCTGATATCGGGGATTTCTTTTTAGTTCATTCAATCTGATAACATAAAAAAAATACTCCTATTTCATGACTCAAAGAGTTTAAAATGCAAGCAATGGCTGCCGTGGCTGCAACGTGTACTGTTGCGGTCCAACATAGAATGGCTAGAACATGGATCACATCTGCAAGCCGGGGTCTATCACTTGGAACTAGTCCAGGCCTCTTGGGGAACATGCAACGTAATAATAAAAACAAATATGGTACTCCGTACAAATAATAACCCGTTGTGCAGGTGGAACTGCACTGATTACAGTACATGCGATACCTCTCTTTCTCTGTTCAAGGCCGGAGATAGACAAACGTAGATAGCATTTATATAATCTATTCCGTACAAGATACTCCGTACTTCGTACAAAACACACATTCAAATATGTTGATATGTGGCCATGCCGACAGTTGGCAGTACAAACCACGTTTGCGGAGACCCGGAAACAGCAGATCTTCAATATCACAGCTATGTATTGTTGTCCCTCAGCCACAAATCAGACTTACCTAACTAAGGCTTGGAATGAATGATTCTATGGCTTTACGGGAAAGCCACAGATGTCATGACAGTGCCCCGCCCAATATCGGTAATTGTTGTTGAAATTGTGGACTGTGTATGTACTCGCGTCTAAGTACCCAATATTAAATACCATGGTTTGCCATAAATTAATATCAAATGCAAGCCTCGTCTCACTGAAACCGAATTAATCTTATAGTGGCCCCAAGTGGCCCCTGGATTGTTAAAGCCTAGAACCCATATGCAGTTATAGTCGAATTCTCTCGGAACTTCGCGGATGTAAAATAAATAGGAGAAAAGTGTGATAGGAATTGTGAATACAGAAAATACTCCGTACTAAGGTGGTCCTTCGATCGTATCAGTGCACAACCATTGGCCTATCATAATTTCTGATCGACCATGTCTCAACGCTATTTCTCATTATGTCTGGTTGATTGGGTTAGCGGCGTTGAGATAGCTATATGTGCATTGTAGCTATGTACGACTCACTACGGAGTACTCTGTACGTTATATGTTGTAGCTGTTATAGTTACAAATATGAAGCGTTTTCAAATCACGCGCACGCAAACTCTGCAGACCGTCGTTGCAAAAACCCTGACACAGAGCCACTCACAACAAGACGCTAAAGCGAGACAGCCCCCTGGTGGACACTTGAAAATCCACGGGGTTCGGAGGGTGTTTAGCCTCTCCCGAGGTCTCTGCCTTGTTTTCTTGATGCGCTACCCAGTGGCTTTCCATCTTCTAGTGTGTTCAGGCTAGACCACTTTCTGTGTTTTGACTTGAAGTTTTTCGCCTCAAACAGCCCTGGAGGGTAGTACATTAGGTAATTGTGTTTTATATTTCAGGTCTTGTTTTTATTTTTGTGCTTTATTTATGCCGTGTAGTTTCTTGGTGTCACAGTTTAACGGCCGTACATGGGTTGATTTATGTTCACTTTAAACTTTAGAGAGATATATATACATGCCTGAGCACAAAGTACGCTCGAAGTAGGAAAAACAAAAAAGACTTTTGACAATCATACGAGATCGTCTATCTGCATCCATATGCTGCTTACTGAATATCCCAATTTCCTAGCTGTGAGTTCAGCTTAGCTGTTGTCATCATTTCCCTGCAGCATGCAGGGGAATCTTTTCTTTTGCAAAGCTACGAGCTCATCCTAATATTGAACTTGTTACAAATCAAACAACGTTATAACTATAACTACCCCAAATAGCTGTATTGACTTTGAATTGGCAGAAATCCTGAAAATTGAGTAAACATACTCTGCCTAGATCAACATGTGCCTCGAATTGGTGGAAATATCATCACTAAACACGGATCGGGCAAAGGATGGCCAAGTTGATACGAACACTTTGTGAGTCAGATTGGAACCGTGACCACCGAATACATACCTATATTCAGCTTGGAAATACATTATTGCATGGTGGGGGTTTATTCTTAGGCTTGTAGAGTTACAGGTGGACCACCTCCGACAGATATGGGCGAACCACGAGAAGCACAGATGATCGGAGATTGAATTCTGGTGTCTATATCCACTCTGGCTGGATCGGATCTTGGCAGGGTCCTTGGTCATCTGGTTGAAACCACGACCGCAGGGCGGTGCATATTTCTATCTGGTTGTCTGCGGCATTGACTTGTCTCGTAGACATCGATAACACTATGACATCGTCCAAATTGAGATCTCAAGGTTCCCGTCAGGATACGGTCAGGATACGGTTGAGCAATCGTGCAGGGCTAACCCATTCTTGCTTCCATTGCTGTTCTCGAGTACATGGAAGGGTAGTACCTCAATTCAAAACCACAGGAGGGCAGAGGCAGTGCCCAACGGCAGAGAAAAACACATCAAACCCCGAGCTATTGCGCCATAACAATTGGAAAGAGTAAAAGAAATTTCACATCAACGTAGTTTTCACCTGGACATGCCTAAGCCATGTAGGTGGTGGAGTCAACACCGGCCTCGGGGTACTCGCTGTGAAGATAGTTAGCCTTTTGCTATAGGATAGTATTATTTGAAAGCGACGAAAACTTACGGAAGGGCAACCTCAAAGCGCTTCTCGATTTCCTTAAGGACCTTCTCGTCATCCTCGTTGCTGACGAAGGAGATAGAAAGACCCTTGGTACCGAAACGACCGGCACGGCCAACACGGTGCAGGTAAGAGTCAGCGTCGGCGGGAAGATCGTAGTTGATGGCAAGGTTAATGCGCTCGATATCAATACCACGGCCGAAAACATCAGTGGCAACACAAATACGCTTGTTGAATTCCTTGAATTCCTTGTAGCGCTTGATACTAGATGGAGGTCAGCAAATTGCTGCGGTCAATGCCAAACCTCGGGTGGACTTACCGCTCCTCCTGGCTGACACCAGAGTGAACTGCAATACTAGGGAAGTTGCACTCGCGCAACAGCTTGTCCAGCTCGTTGGCACGCTGGGTGCTCTTGACGAAGATGATGACCTGATTGAACTCGAGGTTGTCCAAAAGCTCATTCAGCTTGCGGTTCTTCTCCTTCTCATCGAGCTTGATGTAGTACTGTTGCAATCCGTGCAGGGTGAGCTTGGTATCATCATCAACATAGACCTCCAGCGGGTTGCGCATGAACTTCTTGCAGATAGGACGAATCTCCTGGGAGAGGGTGGCACTGAACATCATAACCTGCTTATCGGCGGGAGTTGCGCGGAAAATTTCCTGGACATCGCGGCGCATGTCTGAGGGAGAGATGTTAGTGGGGATGTGATAATCGAGTTGTATCTCGCATGTACGTACCAATCTGGTCAAGCATCTTGTCACACTCGTCGAGAACGAAGGCCTTCACGTTGCGCAGGGACAATTTCTTGTCACGGACCAGCGCGTTCAGACGACCGGGAGTGGCAACCACAATGTTGGGGTAAGTGTCCTTGTTGGACAGGAGTTCGACATCCTTCTGGATTGGGGTACCACCGTAGAAGACTGCAGTCTTAACGTCGGGCAAGTACTTCGAGAAACGGGCGTACTCGTTCTTGATCTGATAAGCAAGCTCACGGGTGTGGCACATGACCAGGATCTGGCACTCGCCAGGAACGGGCTCCAATTGGTGAAGGGTGGTAAGAACGAAGACCGCGGTCTTACCAAGACCGGACTTGGCTTGGCAAAGAACATCGACGTTCAGAATAGAAGTCGGAATGCAAACTTGCTGGACTGTTGGAAGGCGGAGCCGATGTTAGATTGAGTTCGACGAAAGAAGAAGCAAAAAAATATCCGTCTCGCAATGTCCGTCCATCCCCCGACAACATCAAATTGATGCGTTGGCGGTCATCTTCCACCGCTTGATCAAACCACCGTGAATGTATATCACATTCAAAAGCCATGCTTTTTGTGGATATCCTATTATATTCTGCAGACAACATGAGGTGCGCCTCACAAGGAGTCAAACGTGATAAATATCACAGTCTTCCACCGCGTGCACCAATCTCCACGAAGTACGTGGGATTTGGGTACGGAGGCTCGCGCTTAGCGCAAGAATGGCACAGAAACCAATGCATATATATTGTAAGGGATATTGTCCATTTTCAGGAGCAATAATCCTCATGTCGTCTGCAGATTCGAAACACGACTGATTGCCAAAAAACCGACAGAAGAATCTTCCCGCGAGGATGGACGGACGTTGGAGATTGGACAAATGGAGGAACGCTTGTGGGAATAATGAGTTAGACTAACCCTCCGATGGATGTTCGAAGCCGCAGTCGGTGATGGCGCGCAGAAGTTCACCCTTCAGCAGGAAGTCGCGGAAACCGGTAGAGTGGATACCGACGTAGCTGCCCTTCTTGTCGGGACGGCCACCGGTTACAGTCAAGTCGCCCTGCTTGTCGGCATCGCCATTGGTGGCGGCAGGCGCAGCAGTGGTGGTCGGTGCTGTGGTGGTCTGAAGCTCCTCATCAGAGTAGTCGATAAGATCCTCCTCGTGAGACATGGCGACGTAAAATAGGCGAGTGGTGAAAGAGATAAAAGTATTGCGAGAGGAAGAGTTGATGTAGGGGATGAAGTGAAAAGAGGACAGGGATAGTAAGAGAAGAGATGGACCGTGATGTGGCAGGTCTATCGATAGACAAAGGTGCAGGGGAAGAAGTCGCAAGGCGGTAGCGACGAAGACCTCACCAAGGGATAATCACGTGGTTTATTCAGCCTCACCGCTTTTGGTTTAGCGTCAATTAGGAAGCTTTTCTCGAATTAGAGGCAGCAAACAGGCTTGATATCCACTTATTGATCAGTCGAATTTTCGAGATGGCAAAAGCCAAGGGAAAGAAGGAAGTCAAAAATTCCAAGAACTCTCAGAGCCATATTCGAGCCCGGCTGGATTACCTACACCAAGCCGCCACATATTTCCAGGGCAAATCTACACTTGCCAAGAGTCAGAACGCTCAAGTTCACAACAATGAGCACAACTCAGTTGCTAGTGATGTTAGCCCAGGGAAGAATGGCCATACAGTAGATACCAATCAACAAATCTGCTCCGTGAATCAACAGAAGACCCAAAAGCCATTGAGAAACCTCTCAAGGGTATGTGTATCACATCTACGCGCCGTGGCAATGAAGACGCAGATTCGGCTGCCGGTCACACTGAAGAGATCAGTCTGCAAGCGCTGTGATACAATTTTAGCGCCGGGAGTGACTTGCTTGCATGAAATCAGAAACGAAAGTCACGGTGGCAAGAAGCCTTGGGCCGATGTGCTAGTCGTCCGGTGCCTCTCATGCGGGACTGAAAAACGATTCCCTCAGACTGAGAAACGTGGGAGAAAACTTGTCGAACGCCGTAAGGAGAAGGGCTCGGTCTTGCCACGCGATGTGAGTGTACCAAAAGTGGATACATCGGCGTCGCAAGGAGAAGCACTCGAAGAAGACGTGACAATGTTGGATGTTGCAAATGTCCCTGCTACGTGAATAGCACCCGCCGAATTTTTCTACTATCCCAGGGGCCACTTCCCTATGTAAAATCTTACGGCTTGCGCATTGTCTCAACGTCTTGCGGAACACAAAACTTGTGTGGTCACACTCACACATTCAGGGCGGGCCCGTCAACAGGCCGGTGCACTCGCTTTTGGGATAGCAAAGAGATGAATGATCAAGGCGCCATGGAGGAGCGATCAAATTCGTGGAGAGAACGTGCCGATATTAGGCCAATATTGGGCCAATGTTGCGGCTGTCCCAGCGACATGAATCGCACCCGCCAAATTCATCTATGGCTTCCACAGATTGAATCTTACACTATGCGCATTGTCTCATCCTGCGGCATAACCAAGGAGCCCATGAAAAGCCGTTGACCGCGCTTTTGGGGCATTTACAATGAGATCTTAGCTACAATGACCACTGGTGTCAAACCAGGGTACTGATTTCCACCCTCATCGCGGGAAGCAGTCTCGAAATCTGAGAGTAGCCTCAATGTGTTTCTAGCCACCACACCGACGATCTGCTATTCAAATTCAGACCCTGACCTTTCCATGTTCACGTCAATCTTGGACCCAATGCAATGTGATGTACGATTTAATAAGTTTGAAGAAACTGTTCCCAATTATATTGCAGAACACCATAAGCCAAGCTATAATCATGCCAGCGATGCAGATAGGCCAACATCAACGCAGAAAAAAAAAAACCAAAGCAATGTACACGCAACATGCAGAGAGGGGAATCGAAAGAACAGGGGGAATAGCAGAAGCATCAAATCAAACAGGAAGACACAAAGACGAGTCGTGTTTATGCGCTTGAAATCACATTAAAAATCCTTCATGATAGTCATAAAATCTCATGGATTTCCAGTACCAAGTGGGACCGAGTTGCCATAGCCATCATCAGCGCAGCTCAAGCAGTCGTGAAAAAAAATACTGCAGTGCTTTCGAGTTCGCATGCTCAAAACCGGAGTTTCGCCTCAATAATACCGCCAGGCATGCATTTCTTTCAGTCACTTGTTTCATAAAGTAGATAACCAGACCAATGAATGTGACATATATGAATACGGTGGCTGGCGCACATTCAAGAAAAGAGTCCGTGGGGACACATTTGATATATAGTTTTGGTTTCTTTTTGTTCTGTCGGCTTCGATATGCTTCGGGTACTTGTGTGGAGAAAATATAGGTGTGTATCGGTCGGACCATCCAGTGGTCAAGTAAATGTGAGATGTGCAGAACGCATGACCGTATACGGCCTTTCGGGGCGTTTCAAGATAGGTGAGAGTTTAAAGTATATGGAGGGGATGTGTATATGGGAAGGAATCATCGTCGGCGCCGAGAACTTTGGTCAATGCGGTGATCTAAGTTCTCGATCCGGCCACGGAATGACTTTACGATATCACAGATATGAGCGATCTTCGCTAACTCATTGTCCAACTCATCGATGGAGGCCAAAATCTCACGCGTGCGGGCAATTTCGGCATCGGCATTGCGAATGACGTTTCCCGCGCGGTCGTAGGTGTTTTGGATGGAGCGCTGCATTTGGTCCTCGAGCTAGCAAGAATGTTTCATGTTAAAACAACGAAATGTGATTTCTGTATGATACGGGCATGCGGGCAAAACCCACGGAAGGGGCAAACATACATATTCGATCCGGTGACTGATCTGAGCCTGCAACCCGTCTAGCTGGTGCGATAGCGCGCGAAGGCTCATAGGGTCTAGTAGCAAACGCCCCTGGCTGCTGGCAGCGCTGGTTGCGCGCGAGCTGGAATTGCTGGTTCTTCCGGTGCCTCTGCCCCTGGCTATCCCGTTGCCGGCGTGGCCGCCCTGCAGGGCAATCTGCTGCTGCTGTCGGAGCATCTGAATCTCGGAGGAGGTGAGGCCAAGCGAAGTGTCGGGAATCGAGGCTGAGACGGACATTTGGTCCCGGCAGAGACATACTCCGACCGCGACAGTCTACGATGCGCCGATCAAACTCGATGTGAGACCAAACGGACCACAGGTCATGATGGAAGATGGAAGACGTAGAGAGGAGCGGTTGCGATATACTGCAGTCTAACCGGGGAATGCGACTATTGGCGGCTAAAGAGGGGAGGGAAGCTTCTTGTTTCCCTCATGAGGAGAAATCAAAAGGGGAAAAAAAAAGAGGCGGAGAAACAAGGTGTGAGCCGCTGAGAGTTCGGCGGCAACTAGACAGCGCGCGGCTCGAGGGAAACCAGTTACACTCCCCGACGAAGAGGCTAATGAAATTTCGCTTTTATATGTTCTGGAGCATAGGCTTAGGCGGAAATATGATACCTCGGATCTCCCCATAAAGAGGGGCTTGAAGATGGAATGAAAAATCAAGAAAAAGCAATATTTAGTACATTATATATTTCTTATTTTAATATCGGGGTTTACTTCGTTTCATCTTTCGAGTAATTCTTCGACGATTTTGGATTATATTGGATATTGCATGGCTTAGGCTAGATGCTGGGCTCTGCACCTATCTCGATGTGGGAGTATCAAGAGGCTCTGTGGTATGTTCGCTAGAAAGATAAGAGAATCAAGAGCATATATATATATATATGAAATGATATTAGTTTATTGAATGCTATCGTGGGAAGATATAAATTCGATATGTAGTTGTAGTTCCAATTTCGAACCATGGATAGGACAGCTCCTATGTCTCTCTCTCTCCACTCTTTTCTCTACGGAGAACTGCAGCAACAGAAGACTTCACTTTGATTGGGATTGGAATACACCGCTTATTTCTCCGCTTTGAATATTTTGTATGTGACTAAATAGTTAGGTGATTTTCTGCCAGTCAAAAATATCCCAGGCTTAACCTTGGAAGTCTTCCATGTTTGCACTGCTCTGTAACTTGAACTTCAACTTCAACTCCTTTACTCAGCCGCTACTACCACACCCAGCACTGCCTGCCTAGACTGTGAGGCTGAAACCGGCAGTTCTACTTGACACACCGCTTGTTCCTAGGCTTTCTCGCATTCCGCCCGCGAGCGCCATCCAATCCTAATCCCGGACACCTGCAGTCTCGACCTGACGGCCCGACGCGATCGATCCAGTCGAGGCGACTTAACGCACTGATCGCATATCATTCTGCGAGCTAGTCCGATCAGCTATTCTCATTGCGTGCCCTCTTTGCTGGTCTGCGCCCCGAACTCTGGTTTCCAAACACACCTTTCACGTGTGAAACCGCCACGAAGTTCAGACGTCGGTGCCAGTACCTAATTTGTGAGCCCTGGAATTGATTCGACAAGAGGACGTCGCATTTGTTACCGGCTCCTGCAGCTAGCTTACGTCATACCAATAATTACGGACCATCCACACACCAATCCCATTACCAACACCAATACGACGTCATGGCCAAAGACAAAGAGCGCTCAGTCAACCCTGCCGCTGCACAGCGGAAGGCAGATAAACAAAAAGAATTGAAAAAGGGTAAAGCAGAGGCATTAGCGCGGCGAAACGAGAAACTTGCGCGGCGCAACCCAGATCGAATTCAGCGGCAGATCAACAGCTTCAAAGAAGCCGAGGAATCAGGACAAAAACTACGGCCACGTGATAAGGAGCTTCTCGAAGCGCTAGAAAAGGATTTGCGAGGAGTTCTGAAGGCGCGTGAAGCTCTTGGCGACAAGGCACCCCAGTTCGATCGCGGCGGCAGAGGAGACCGCCAGGGTGATGGTGGTAGACGGGGTGGTGGCGATGGCGTGCTTGGGAAGCGAAGACGAGGCTCAGATGAAACACGAATGCCTCGTGATAGTGACAGTAGCGATACGGATGAGGATGTGCGGAGGATACCCATGCCGCGGGATACACCGCCACCAATCCTACGCCAGCACCAGCGCAGACGGGATGGAAATGTGCCTTCAGAAGACAGAATCGAGCGCACTGGTCCCCACCCACTGCCGTCTCGTCCAACGGCGGCTCCGGTGGTCAAGACTGTTTACGAAGCGCAACCTCAGATTCGGGACCTGCGACAGGAGGCAACCAAGAAGTTTGTTCCGGCAGCGGTCAGGATGAAACAGCAGTCAATCAAGGGACAGGGGAAGTTATTGGAACCAGAAGAGATGGACAAGCTTGAAAAGGCTGGGTATAATGCCGGCCCCGCCCCGGAAGCACAGGCTGGCGAACAGGCTGGCGAACAGGCTGGCGAACAGGCTGGCGATTCGCCGCAGGAGGAAGATTGGATGTTGACGTTAGAAGAAGAGGAGCGGCGTTTTAAGCAGGAGCAGGAGCAGAAACAGAAACAGAAGTTTGTTCAGATAGAAGAGGTCGAAGATGAGGAAGCGTAGGCTTAATATCTGACCTTTTGAATAAAATGGTTCATTAAACGTGAGGCATGTAACACGCAGCAGATTTTGATCAGACGTACATACTTATGTATTCCATATATTGAGTAGTTTGAGGGAATGATGGTAGGTGTACTGTTCATGTATCTTAGGGCTAACGCTGCAGATGTTAGTTCAATATGACCATTAAGGAACATATTTGCAATCGAGGGGAATACGACGGGAATTAATTAATCGTTTAGAGAACGACCAAGCAAAATACAAAAATTCAACAGTCAATGCATGGCTAATGCAAGTAAATGTACAAGAGAATTGAATGATCTCCTTATTTGAAGGAAAGGGGCGTGACGGCATAAACAACAAAGGAAAAAGGTAGTAAAGAGTCGAGTCGAGGAGGCAAGTGTGTGCCAACGAGGGCAAAGAGCCATGGACGAGCCATGGGCATGTGTATCAAACTCCGTGTCTTGCATGTGGCAAGGATGCTCCGAAAACATTAGGGCCAACTCCGTGACATAGTGGAAAAGTATGCGCAAGAAGCGAAGTGCGAAAACCGAAAACGGTGAGCAACAAGGAGAAATGAGGGTTTCCAACGAAACCAAAGAAACCAAACCCAGATCCAAGGGGAAAAAGAAAAGAAAAAAGACCTCCAATCCATAACAAACTCCGATTACGCCAGGGCGCCATAAGAAAACAGAAACCAGAACCGAACAAAAGAACAAAGTAAATGCAAAGGAAATTTGATCCGAGCAAAAGACTACCGCAGGTTGCGAATAATCTTCTTGCCACGGGCAAGGAAGGGGCTGGGCATCTCATCCAGTTCAGGGTTCCAGATAGCAGGAGCATCACGTTCAGAGCATTTCACGCTCATGGTGGGACCGCCAGCGCGCGAGTCGCTGGCAGAACGCTTGACTTCATCCATCGGACGGCCTCCAGCTCTCGCCTGTGCGAGTTCGACCAGAGTGCGGCCACCCATGTTGCGTTGCATAACAGCTTTGAACATCTCTTCGCCGCCACCCCCATTCTTAGCGGGAGCAGGTTGCTGTTTCGAAGCACTCTTGCGGGTTGGTGAGGTGCCCGCATCGGCAGCGAGGTTGGCGGATGATGGGATTTTAGTTAGACGGCGGTGAGGAGATCTGGCTCTGCTCTCACTTGCACTGCGCTCATCAGACTGGGAAGCGGACACGCTTGTCGATTGAGGGAGACGAGTCCCGCCTGAAGGGAATAACGAAGGCTGGGTGCTAAGTTTCTGCATGAGAGCCGCAGTGTTCTGGCGAAGCAGAGGTCGTCGAGGCGCCTTCAATGGGTCAGGCTTCACTTTGGGTCGAGTTGGTGAGGGCAAGTCGGGGGTGTCGTCCTCATCGTCAGAGTACGCCAGGGTGGGCTCCCACTTAGCCTTGTTCCGCTCAGCCTCTGCAAAGATGTTTCGAGCGCCTCCTTGGCCAGAAGTGCGGCGAGGGGATAAGGAAAGTGAAGCAATTGAAATAGGTGACGGCTCAGCCATTTGAACATCCACTGGTGAATCAGCAACGGTCTTGGACCGACAAAATGGCGTTCGTGTCTCTTTCTTCGGCTGCTTCCGGGCTTTTGAAGGAGGAGAACCGAGAGACAGTTGGGTAATGTCGGCACTTGGTGAGGGGCTAGTATCATTGTCGTCTGTCATGTTGGCAGAAGACCGAGAAGACCGCCAGCCTTGATTGCTGGATCGAGAGGACCCAGAGCCGTGAGTACTGGTGCGGAATACGTCATCTCGGGAGGTGTTGCTATTGGAAGCATTGTGCTTGTACTTCTTTACCTCAATAGCAACCCTTTCTTGCACTTCAGACTCAAATCTTTTGCGGAGTCGTTCGAGTTCACTTTGCACCTGACGATCAATCTCCAAGCGTGCCTTGACCTCCCACTCTCGTCGAACAGTATTTTCAATCTCCGCTTTGATATGTTGTTTTTCTAATTCCCTCTTGGCAAGGTTCTGTTCCATTTCGCGAACTTTATGAACAGCAACCTCCTCACGTCGGCGCAGGGTCTTTCCGAGGTCAACGACCTCTTTCTCCTTGCGCATCAAGCGAATGATAGGAAGATGAATCAGAGCGGAAGTATCAGGGCGGTGATCGGGATTGACCCGCAGACAGCTTCCAATAACGTTCTTGAGCTCTGGTGAATAGTAATCAGGCAAGGGAGCAAACTTTCCCTCGCGAATCTTTTGAACTAGCTGAATGTGGGTGCGAGCGTTGAAAGGGGGCTCTTTCTGGCAGAGCTCATACATGATGCAGCCAACCGCCCAAATATCGGAGCGTAAGGTGTATTTTTCAGCCGCGCAGATCTCCGGTGACATGTAGAAAGGTGTGCCAACATAAGTTGATGCAAAGTCGTGAGATTGCATTTGCTTGGACAGGCCGAAATCGCCCAGCTTGACGGTATTGTCGCTACCGAGGAAGATGTTCTCGGGTTTCAGGTCGCGGTGCAAGATAGTGACTTGCCCCTGTTTTCCCTTGAGACCAGATGGCTTGGGAGCAGGGCCCAAGATGTTCGATCCGACCTCAGCAGGATCAGAGCCATAATGACACCGGAACAAAGCAGTGATAAGCTGGGAGAGAATGCGCCAAACAAACTCTTCTTCGGCATATTTGTTGGCCTTCTTCAAGTTCTTGATGACCATGCCTAAATCTCCGCCGCCACAGTACTCCATGTAGAGGTACAGGTCTTGACTAGCCTTAAGATGTTCTCGATGATAGTATGCGACGATGTTTGGGTGACGGAGGGAACTCAAAATGTTGAACTCGGCAGTAAGTTGTTCGCGTTCTTTCTGCGACATCTTGATATAATTGATTTCTTTGCGGCATAGGATCTATAGGAGTAGGTTGAGGTTAGTCTGGGTTGCAAGATGCCAGCAATGCACTACACTTACAAATCCATCTGACTTTCGCTTAACTTTGCGAATGATCCCGAAGGAACCGCAACCTGAATAAATATAGAAGATTAGCTCTGAATATATAGCATATGGATTGAGTCATTTACCAATTTTGTCCAAAATCTCATACTTATCGGCCTCAGCCAAAGCAATCGCCATGGCTATAGATTGCTGTAGAGTTCAGGACAATAAAGTGAAGACGAAACAGAAGTATCAGAGAGTCAATGATGCATGAACGTTATGAAACAAGATCCTATGTTAGTAAAAAAGAGTCGGACTGCAGAATTGAAGATTTGAGGAAGAGTCAGGGCAATATGAATTGGAGCTTTGAAGATGGGTGTTTGGGTGGTCGTTGCTATGCAACGGTGATTATGGCGCTTTCCTCAACCCAGTAGGCGGTGGGGTGGGCCGATCAAACGGTCGTAAAAAGGCAAAACGGCGAATGACGTTTGTTCAATTATGATTGTTACAGCCAAGTGGGAACGTAGTATGTATACTTGAATATATATATTTACATGTATATCTATATACTTCAACATTGGAACCACTTAGATATCTACACAATGCATATACAAGACCTCAATTTCAGACTTCATATTGCATAGTCACGTGTTTCTTATCGATAGGCATGTTTCCGCCCCGCCGTTTGCCTCATCCCACTTCGACCTGTTCCTGGCAACCTGCATGATGGATGAGCCAACTGTGCTGCGGAAGGACCAGCTAGAGATTAGCCTGGGCAATGAGAAGAGGCTGATCAGAGAGGGCACCATTAAAGATGATAACCCTCTAGATCTCAGTGAGCCATTCCGTGAACTATGCAGCGCATGTCGTCAGGGTGATCTGAAAGTCTGCCAGGAGAAAATCACCGAGGGCGTCAATGTCAATGCTCGTGATCCCTATGATTACACTCCATTGATTCTAGTGAGTACAATATATTGATAAATCGACCGTGCCAATCCCGCGTACCACATAATAACCGATGAACCTGGAAGGCGAGTCTTTGTGGTCATTATGAAGTTGTGCAACTTCTTCTCGAGTCTGGTGCACTTTGTGAGCGAGACACATTTCAGGGTGAAAGGTAAAAGGCAATTGGTTCCCTGTAGAGTGAAAGCGACTAGAGTTAACAACGCGGGTTCTATAGATGTCTCTATAATGCCCTAAACGACCGGATACGAAACCTCCTCCTTGAGTATGACTATTCTAAGTCCACGGATCCCCTGCAGCCGCTAGCTGCGCATATAACTTCGCTTCTTACCCGGGAGTCTCCAGTAACAGCAGATATTGTTGTGACTGCATCCGACGAATCCCTTCACCTCCACAAATTCATCCTCGCGGCGCGCTCTCCATATTTCTATGGTAAACCAGCCGTAGAACCAGAATCTGCAACATGGAAGCTTCCCAGCACCATTCCCCCAGAGGCATTTGGTGCCGCTGTCAAATACATGTACTTTGGAGAAGCCCCTCGGGACTTGAGAAGTGGGCCAGGGACAGGCTTCACGGAGTCCGAAACCTTTGCAGGGGTGGATAGAATCTCTAAGTACTTAGAGATCCCCGGTCTTCTAGACAGTATTCTTGATAGTGGAGACAGGAGACGTGCCAGACAAAGAAGAACCGACGATATTTCCAAGGGCCGAGATCAAATGGAACAATGGTTCCGGAAGAATATTCTGGGGAACAAGCTTGAGTTGGAGACTTCTAAAGTGAACGAAGTGAAGTGGGATCGAAGCAATGCGATTTTCGCTGATGTTCTTCTGAGGGCGGATGAACTTCCCGAGGAAGATGAAGAAGCGGACAATGACACACCAGCGGTCAGCAACGGTACATCTAGTTCAATTCCCATTGGCCCTATCTCGACCGCGAATGAGAAGAATCTAGAGGCACCGAAATCAGTGATCTTCCCATGCCATCGCGCAATGCTTTTACGGTCTGAATTTTTCCAGGCAATGTTCACATCCACCTTTCGCGAAGCTTACCTCAATGAGCATTTGACGATCATCGACGTCAACTGTTCGCCCGAGGTCTTGGAAATTATTCTTACATTCTTATACACTGAAAGAGCCGATTTCCCCTTAGAAATTGCTGTCGATGTCCTATTCGCCGCAGATATGCTCTTCATAGAGAAGCTGAAGACGAAAGCCGCTGTAGTCATCAGCACCCTCGGCAGTGCTGGAATGTCCCAGGCTGAGGCTGCGAAAACTCGGGGTACGGCAGACGAAGATTACATCGATATCTACTCAATTGTTCGAGCTGCGTGGTTGACGCGCGTGCAGCGATTGGAAGAATTCGCAGCTCGATATCTCGCATATCGACTGGAAGCACATATAGATACTCCGGAGTTTGCGGAGTTGATCCAAGAATCAGCATCTCGTATCAAGGCGAGACAGGAAACTGATTCCATTGAGATGTTGGACGATATCCGATTCTATCTTGGAGAGCGCTTTAGACTTAGATTTGATGAGCCTGGTCTGGATGAGATGATGGATGAAAAAGAACTACTGGAAGATCTTGATGAAGACCAGCAGCCGGAAGAAGTCATAAAAATCGCGGAAGGTGTCCAGACCCTGGGTATTTCCAAGGAAGCAATCCCTAGCCACGACCACCAGCCACACGGCCATCCCTTGGAGATTCGCACTCTGGACGGTGCGGTCGCCGAGGATGAATTCTCGGAAGATACAGTGAACTATGAGATCTTGCTCGAGAAGCTGGATGATTTGTTGGAAAGACTCAACCTTGAGGCTTAAGCATTTTGAATTTTGCCAGTAGCCTCTGAGCCAGTCGACCAACAGCTTCTCTGATGGAAACTTTATGATGATAAACTCATTGCAGATTAGACCGGAGGGAAAAGGATGTAATTTTGTCTATAAACAGAGGTAGTAGATCAAGTTATGTACATGAAGATATTGATATTACCTCAGTAACAAGCAGTCAAATTTATGAAGCCTAATCCGCCGATAGGAGCATTCAATGTTTCCAGACTTCCCAGGCCATGACTGGATTGCATCGACGCAGGACTCGAAGATCACCTTCAAGTGCAACTGGTCTGGTAGGAAGCTTGTTGCGCGGCTAATGTGCGTTAAGGCCAGGCTGGAACTAGTCGATAACCGCCACCTTGCATTTGAATAGAGAGTGGTGGGTGGTCCTTCGGTGGATCAAAGCGTGCCGGTTACATCGTGGGTTGGTTCGCATTAAACGGTAGTTGTGAATCTGTTGCCTCCGTTCAGCAAAACTTCGTGGTTCTCATCGCCCTCCACTTGGTCGATCTTGATCATCACCACCAATGCCTTTCTGCTGCTTCTCCAACACCCTTGCATCCAAGTCTCGTATCTGGTTCTCGAGTATGCCTCTCCGAGCGATCAAGTTAGAGCGCATATTCTGGAGGGCTTTGGTTTGCTCATCAAACGTCGATTCTTGCCGCTTCTTTACTGTCTATATTGCATAAATTGTTAAATCAAAAATGGGATTCAATGACATGATTGGAGATAAACGGATGGATAGCTTCGGTCTAGATGGATTCGTTCATACCTCAGCAATTTCTTGATTTGTTTTAATGCCAGCTCCATAAAGAGTGCCTGTGATAGTGATAGAAACTACCGCAGTAGTTAATATCAACCGTTTGATATTCGGAGGAGGCATGGTGAGTGCTATATAAAGTCGAAGCTGTTTGGTCGCAACCAATTGGCCAATTCAAGGATCTCACCGCCTACTTAAATTAGACTTTCTATTGATCGCGGACGCGTTCCCTCGCGTTTGACTCGAACAAAGAAAGCCCGGACAAAGCGAATTTGACAGACAGCCCATGAAGTTCCCTCTGCATCTCCTTGAGGGTTCCGACCGCCATGGCACCACGCAGTCCTCGTCGTCGACCTTACAGCGAGGATGAGGAAAGCGAAGACCCTGAGTTTACTCCCCCAACCCAACCTTCGAGCCGCAAACGCCCCCGCCCCAACCCCGCTGAAAGCGATGAGGAATCGGAACATGGAGAGGAGAGCGAAAGTGGAGGCGAAGAAGAGAGCGACGGAGATAATGCTGCATCCGAAACACCAGAAGCAGTTTCTCAGGCCCCGCCTGCGATAGCCCACGATGGCCTTGGCCCTGGTGGATATAAGCCGGGCGCGATCGTGCGGATCAAGGTGACAAACTTCGTGACCTACACGTCCGCAGAGTTCCATCCTGGACCAAAGCTCAACATGGTCATTGGACCAAATGGAACTGGCAAAAGCACCCTGGTCTGTGCCATCTGCTTGGGTCTGGGATGGGGACCTCAGGTATGACTCGGATTATAATACTGCACAGCCACCCCTGTATTGACATTTATCTTTAGCATCTTGGACGCGCTAAAGATCTAGGCGAGTTTGTAAAGCATGGGGCCCGAGAGGCTATGATTGAGATTGAACTATGCGGGCCGCCCAAGACCCGTAACAATCCTGTCATCCAGCGAATTATCAAGCGCGACGGCAACAAGAGCTCATTCACACTCAATGGATCCCCTGCTTCTAAGAATGATGTGCTGAAACTGGCTCAGTCGTTCGCCATTCAAGTAGACAATCTCTGCCAGTTCCTTCCTCAGGATAAAGTCGCTGAGTTTGCTGCACTTACACCGATTGAGCTTCTGCATTCTACGCAAAGAGCAGCAGCTGGTCCGGAAATGACCCAGTGGCATGATGCCTTGAAGAGGCTACGAGCCGAGCAGAAGAAACTTGAGATGGACAACAGTGGCGACAAGGAATTGCTTGAAAATATGGAGAATCGCCAAGAAATGCAAAGAGCTGATGTCGAAAGAATGCGTCAGAGAGCCGGAATCAAGCGGAAAATCGAGATCCTTGAACGTTGCCGTCCAATTGTGGAGTATAAGGAACACCACAATGCTGTCGAGGCCCTGAAGGTTACCAAAGCTGAAGTCGAAAGAGAATATCTTCGGATTCAAGCAGAAAACGAGCCTATTTTGCGTGCCGTCAACGCCAAAGAGGCTTATATCGAGCAATTGAACGGTGTGAAAGATGGCCGAAAGGATTCTGTTGACCAGGCATCTAGGGTCGCCACTGCCCGCAGCCAAAAAATCGAGGAATTTGAGAATAAGATAAAGGATCTCAACGATCGGATTGAGGCCGAAAGGAAGAGTGGTACAAGGCACAAATCCGAAGCAGCATCAGCTCAGCAAGCTATCAATAGACTTCGACGCCAACAAGAAGAGGAGCCCGTGGAGTTCGACCCAGAATTTTACAACGAGAGATTGGTAAGAAACCCTACATTCTTTAATATCGGAACCGGCATGCTTATCACAAAATCAGAGAGAGAAAAGACTCGAGAAACGCGAGCTTGAGATGAAGGCCAGAGAGATTAAGGACAGAAGGCAGCCCTTTCAGAGCCAGCAACAGCAAGTGCAAAGGAATATTCAGCAGGCCGAACGCCAGTTGAGCAGCTTGGACTCAGCCGCTGGCCAACAAGAGCTGAAATTGCAGAAAGCATCTTATGATACGCTGAAAGCCTATAGATGGCTCCTTGAGAACCAAGACAAGTTTGAAAAAGAAGTCTTCGGTCCTCCAATAGTTACATGCTCAATCACCGACCCCAAGTTCGCCGACGCCGTCGAGTCTTTATTCCAGAAGACAGACTTCACGTCGTTCACCGTGCAGAGCAGGAATGATTTCCGCACCTTGCAACTTGCGATTAACCAAACCTTAAAACTCCATGATATCAGCATCCGCACCTGCTCGCTGTCATTGGATGCTATGAAACCTCCAATGTCCAATGATCAACTTACCCAATTGGGATTCGATGGCTGGGCAAAAGATTTTCTGGTCGGGCCCAGCCCTGTCATTGCCATGCTGTGCAGTGAAAAGAACCTGCATTCGACTCCTATTGGACTGCGTGAAATATCAAATGAAGTGTTTGCCCGCTTGGAAGAGGGTTTGTTGAGCTCCTGGGTATCTGGGAAAAGAAGCTATCAGGTGACCCGGCGTAGAGAGTATGGACCCGGTGCCACATCAACCCGGGTTCGAGAGATCAAGTCTGCCCAAGTGTGGACCGAGCAGCCTGTTGATGTTTCCCTTAAACGTGAACACCAAGAGAACATCACTTTATGGAATGAACAGCTGCAAGACATCAAGGGAAAGATTGAGTCCGAAAGGGCTTCCTTGTTAAAGATACAGGAAGAATACGAGCAGGTCGAGCGAGACACGGTATTTTGCACAGTTCTCTTACTTTTATCGCACATCCAACTAACTTGTACTGCAGAAAGAAATTGAGGAAGAAAAGAGCACAAAACAGACAGCTCACACTCAATACCGGGCAATCCCAGAGAAGATCTGTATGTTTCATTTCTTGTCCTTCTGCCATCTAGCACTTATCTAAACAAACTACAGCTCAACAAGAGGCCAAAGTTCAAAATATTACAGCGATGTTTGAAGGGGTACGGGATAGGGTTCGTGAGATTCGCAACCGGCAAGACGATATTGCAATCCAAAAGGCTGAGGCCGCTGTCGAATATGCTGTAAGTTCATCAGTGACATGTCTTGTCTACTTTCATCTGACACAATGCAGGATGCTGTTGAATTATTCCGCCAAGCTCATGAGGAGCTCATGAAAGTCGAGATCCTATTCTTGGAGGCGACTTCCGATCTTCAGACCTTGCGGCATCGTAACATTGATAGTACGAAGTTACTAGAAGCAAAGAGACGAGAAGCCCAGGAAGCTACTGTTAAATTAAGGGAATCTAAAGTGAAGGCCCGAGCAATCCTGCAAAAAGCTCAGCGCATCAGCCGGGAGCTACATGACCAACCCGATGCGCAAGCTCTACTCGAAGAGCTGGATGATCATGACATGGATAAACTCGAAGCCGACATTGACTCCGAGAAGGCCCGGCTGGAACTCACCCATGGCGGTAGTAGCCACATGATCAAGGAGTTCGAAGACCGTGAAAAGGCCATTGAGAAGTTGCGCTCCAAACTCGCCGACTTCTTAGATAAGCTTACGGAACTTGGCAACGCCATCGCGGACATCCGGAAGGACTGGGAGCCCAAATTGGAAGCGCTCATCGAGAAGATCAGCGATGCCTTTGGGGATTCTTTCCGCCGCATCGGATGCGCTGGCCAGGTCACCTTAGGCAAAGTGGAAGGTGAAGCTGGGCCCAATGGCGAACCTGGTCCGAGCGAATTCGGGGAGTGGTCGATCGTGATTCACGTTCAATTCCGTGAGGGCGCAGGGCTGTCGGTCTTAGATTCACATCGCCAGTCTGGTGGTGAGCGGGCGGTGAGTACCATCTTCTATCTCATGGCACTCCAATCGCTCTCCGCCTCACCTTTCCGGGTTGTCGATGAGATCAATCAAGGTATGGACCCGCGAAACGAGCGCATGGTTCATGGACGCCTGGTCGACATCGCCTGTGCGGGTGAGACCGAGGAAACCGACGAGAATGGCAACGTCATCGGCGGCGGCGGAGGTGGTCAGTATTTCCTAATTACACCGAAGCTGCTTGAACAACTGTCATACAAACCGGGTATGCGTGTGCTTTGCATCTACAGTGGAGAACATATGCCGGAGGATTATGACAGGACCAATTTCAAAAAGGCCATTCGGAGCATGAGGAAAGTGGCCGCCAACGCGATCACCAGTGGATCGGAAGTCATGCAGAGCAGCGGGCAAGTGGATGTCTATGCCTAACGAAGTTCTCGGGATTAATTTATTCTCATGCGATACCCAATTTACCCAGTTTCCTTTAATTCCCCGAACCTTGGCCGGGGTTCGACCGGGGAGGGTTCTATGGTAGACATCTGATTTTAAGAGAGAAAAAAAAAGGAGTATATCTACGGAATACAACATATGTAGTGATGAACATTATTTAACTTCTGTATATATATATTGTATACTTCATATAAAGAATATCAGAGATTCACATGATCCTACGTGGGTCAAGCACTTTTCGCACAGACACGGAGCGGCCGATCATGCATATGGGGCCAAAACAAAGGGAGCCGCAGTGAACTTGAACCTCATGAACTTCATGGACTTAATGGACTTTAGATATCCCGAGGTTTAAGGAGTCAAAGAGGCCAAGGAAAAGAGGTCAAAGATAAAAAAACCGTTTTGGATTCTTGTTTCTTAGGGCTGCCTAGAACCATTGGAGAAAAGGATTCATATCCATGCTTAGATCGGACGATTCGACCAAAAAAAGGAATAGATCGCTCCTCGCTTGCAACCTGAAAAAAAAAAAAAAAGAAAGAAAAAAGAAAACGCAAAGAAGAGAGCTCAGATCGACGTCTTTGTCGATCACCGGAGGATTGTAAACCAATGAACCGTTGATATTAGGCATCCTCTCGCTAAGATCAACTCTAATCAGCCAGTTCTCTTTCAGTTTCGACTGTCTTACTCTTGTAGTGTCTCATGTCATCTCTCCCCTATCGAGATGACTGTGCATATACAGGATCGACACTACTTTTTGGTCTATTGGTTTGATATTCTACGATGCAACGATGCAATGCAAAGATATTCTTGTATCTCATTTCTTACCTCTTTTCTTTCTTTTTTTTTTCGTTTCATTTTACCATCATATTTGACTTAGAACTTATTTCTAATCCCTGTGTGATAGTCAAAGACGACACCTCATGTTTCAATAAAGCAGGTGATGCATCCCTGGCGCTTGGGGAGTCCTGCACGGCCCCTAGACGCATTGGTCACTCTGTTGCTCGATCCTTTTCAACGGCCCCCAAATAACGTGGCTTGAGCTTTGTATATACTCCAGAGGTCAAAGACAGAATAAGAGAAAACGAAATCACTCATATTGTCAAATGTGCCTCACAGCAAAGAGTTCAGATCCCAGCGTTGCACGGTCACACAATCTTGACCACCGACATATTCAGATCTGGACGACCTGGTGACTTGAGAGATTTGTATCTGATTGCGATACAGACTGCCTATGCAACCTGTACTTACTATTGGGGAACTTGTACCTTGTACCTTGTTAACTACGTATGCGATGTATAATGCAAGCCCTTCCCACACTCTTACTTGAGCAAGGCTCCGATCTGCTTATAATGCGGCGCAGCACAACCAATACCAAGGAGACGGGACTAGCCCTATATCCAATAATATACAACATAAATGCATGGACCCAACAGCGTGGCAAGGTGAACTGCAAGGATGTATAAAAAGTAAAATTAACAGAGAATGCAACGGTGGGATGATCTAGTGAAAGATACAACTTGTAAGGTAGTTAGGCTAATGAGCTCAGCAGACACACTTCCTACCCCCACAACAATTACCGGCATGAAACAAAATGAAAATCACACGTCGATCACGATCGACCATTAGCGTCCACAAGACGTACGTTTTTCTGTAGCATCTGGAATTTCAGGGATAATCCGGAGGTTGGCTTAGTTGGTATATGCGACCGAATTAGTAACGGAGTACTCGCTATATAGTCGAAACTCTATATATACCCTGCATATTCAAGTCCAATATCGATAAATCAACTGGAATTGGAATAATGACATTTGCACTTGCATTCCAAGCGATCAATGCGATGGGGGGCATTGATCTCGTATGTGCCTTGTCGGCATGCAGATTTCCTGGGATGTGGGATGGTCAGACCCTTCTCCCCGCTCGGTGTGGACGGAGTATGTCCGGAGTACATTTGCATGTTGGAGTCGGCGAGTGGATCCCGATAACTCCCATAATCCTGAGTCACTATGGAATCTCCCAACGGTTACAATGAATCCTTAACAAAGACCCCTAAGCAGGATTAGAGAAAAAAAAAACCCCTGAAAGGGAGTATGAAGCCAGAATAGGCAGGACCGTAATCAAAGACTGAACCTTATTAAGAGACTCTATATAATATGTATTATAGAGACACAACATTATGTTGTATAGTGTAGTTACCGAGGTAAATAGTCGAAGTTAATGAGATCAGACTAATGTCCGGGTATATGGCTTAATTCGGGTACGGTTTCATGGGTTTTATGTTCGTTTCATAGCTCCAGTCGACCCGAGAGTGTAGATCCCCGATATCCAGATACGACCGTAGTAGAGGCATAAAAGAGTTTCATGGTCAAAGTGGTCTAGATCTATGTATTGTGAAAGGGGCTATACACAAAAGTAGGATATAGAGAACATATCACTATCACCTCCCTAAAATAGCAATTAAGCGCATGGGAGTTCTGATCCATATATTTTTTTTTCCAATTGAGAAGCCCGATGCCGATCCTAGTGATATTCCGAATACGGTAAGATCCCGGTAAGCTCTTTAATTTCTGCTGACGAACAGGTCGGACTTTAACACATGCCGAGTTCCAATTCGCCTATACTCCTAACTAGGACTAGTATGATTCGGTAGCAGTATCCCGTAGCCCTTGTTTATATTAAAACTGTTTCTCTCGGACCCGACTCCATGGAAGCGACCCCTTCTACCGGATCCTCTTTCGAGTCAAACTTGTTAATCGTCGATCATACCCCTTGTTTAGCATTCGGTTATACACTACTTAAGGGTCTTTTTTTTTTTTTTTTTTTTTGCTTTTGATATTCTATTATTACCTTTTCCCCCTGATTTTCAGTATTCGGGTTCGGGAGCGGCTGGCTATACGCTGATGACCATCTACAACATACGGTGTAGAAATGAATATCCCTTTTGGGGGCCAGAAGGATGAGACAGGTATTAGATCCTGAAGGAGTACTCACTTAATCAAATCTATCCCACCGTACTCCGTAGTAATAAGGTCTATGGGGGCCAAGAATTAAAAATAAAAAATCAAGATGGCGACTTCAATCTAATCTATACCAAAATATCATTTCAGTATAAGCACCAGGGGCCAAAATACGAGTCAATTCATATAATGTCGATTACATGGGGGACCGCATCGGAGACACTCCCAAAACGGTCGTCGCTTAGCGACCTCGGGAGGGCGATCATGGGATGAGTCAGCGGGGAGCTATGGCCATCAGTTGGGATCATTTCTGAATAGGAAGGAGGATACGATGGGATAAGATCAGATTAAGATTTCTAGACATATATATATATATATATATGTACTCCGTATATGTATATTGTATAACTTGTACTTGTACTCCGTATAGATGAATAGTATAGATTCAACTTGTTCTAAATTTAATATCCAACATAAATAACTGCAGTCGGAAGATCCTATAGTGATCGGACGCAGGCAGGTGCATCGGATTAAATGCCAGATTAGGGCTTCCTGCCACGTGAAATGGAGAAAAGGAAAGGCATTAGATGCATTGCATGCTAGGCGCGTCCAACTGTCCAATAGAAGCACCTTCCCAAGTTGTACAAGCGTAAGATCGGATCTCCCAATCCCCGATTGGCGTTGGAACAAGCTTGGCAGTTTAAAATTTACCAGGTAATTTCGGGATCCACGGGGATTCAAGTAATTTTCCAATCTCGGGTTACAACTTATGCTTTGGAAAATTAAACTTTAGAGCAAAGTCAGGATTTTGACACATGGGATTTAATTTTAATTATAGTTTGGATTTCGGTTTCTCTGAAACATATGTGATATGTGATACATTTTGTATGCAAGTGCCATGTGTTTGTCAAACTAGGCAACCACACATATAACTTATACATCTACTTTATTAGAAAAGATATATGGATCTATGTACGGAGTACATACTACTATGTTGTACGTAAAAAAAAAAAAATACAAGTTGTGGCTGACCATGTTCAGCCCCACTGATTTGCGACCATTGACTCGACCGGGACAAGTCTGTGTGTCCGGGAAGAAAGGGGTGAGACAGTCGCGTGGCAATGGGCCCAGTGCCCCGGGATCAAGAAACGATCAGCGATCACGGCTGAATCCGCTACTTACCCGGATCTATGACCTAAAGAGGATAGCTCGATCATCATGATGTTCCTCGGTTCACATTCAGACTATTGATTCTTGACTGAAAAAATAGAATGTGTACGTGGCTTAGCATATAGAATGGAAAAGGAATAACACTTTTTTGTAAAAAAAAATAAAAAACAAAAACTTCAACCTAAACGTAAAGCGTAAAATCGCTCTCCCATGGGACTTGGGCGGATCACACTTTTGCCGGTTTCATGACAAAAAGGGAAAAAAGAAAGAAAAAAAACCGAATAGCTTTCCGAGGGTGAAGGTTCTATGAAGATCTCTCAAAGTAAATTTTCTATAAAGTATATGACACTGTTCACACATATGATCACACATATATATGACTTACATGATTATGACAGCTGAAAAAAACTTCTCACCCCGAACCAAGACCCAATCAACGTTCACGGAATACAGAAACCGGGACCAGGCTCAGTTGAGCATAGACCGTACCAAGTGCCGACAAGGGGGGTTGATCATCCGTAGGCCCGGGACGATCCTGACGCTCGAGCCATTCTAGAACATCAGAGATATGTAAAAGGGGGAAATCTCGGAATACTTTGTACTCCGGTGAAAGTAAAAAGCAGTTGAAAACGTATTTACCCGTATAATCTTCTATATATCCCACTTCCTACTACGGAGTACTCTCTGTAAAGTTTGCTATATATTACGGCGATCCCTCGTAAAGGACTAAATAGTGGACCTCGCTTCCACGAGGGAATCCTCTAACGGCCAATCCCCTAGTCGCGCTTGTGCAGAAACCGACGCACGGTCTGAAAACAGTATGGTAAAGTAAATGTTCCAGAACGCCGATCGTTTCAATAACTCGTTTACAAAGTATAGTCCCATAGTTCAGTTCCATGGCTTCAATGATCTTCAGGTCTTAAGACTCTAGGCTTTGTCATCTTAGGTAACTCAGTTAATGAATCTTCTCAAACCCACATAGAGTATATAGATTAATTAGATGTACTATACGGAGTATACTTTGTACATATTTAAATGCAGACTAGAAAGGAAACCAATTTTTTCCTCTATGCATAATATTGCATACATTTGAACCACCTTCCAAGGTCCGTGTAAGCGAACTCAAGGGCCATGGGTTAGTTGTTTCAGGCATGTTGGTTCTCGCCCCCAGCGCTTAGAGCCGCCCTGACAATCCCCGGAGCCGGGATTAATTACAACGGAGATTGTATTTACAGGTAATTAATATAAATTAAAATACATAATCCATGGATAATGGAGTATACCCCGAGCCGTATTAACAACGTAAATATGAACCCAAGGTTCCGGAGTTGTGGCCCAGAATAGACTAGTCTCATCCCTTTGTGACCTTCCCTTTTCGCTCGCGCCGTTTTTTTTTGGCTCCATAGCCACGCGACAAATGATCTCCTGAACCGTGTCATCCCCGGGTTTTACATATAGTTATGATATTACTGTAGTTCAAAAGGGGACAAGAATAATTACATTCATATTTCCTCTATATTTCCAACTTTTCATCTCTCGCCGATCAATAGATCCATGATCGATCAGCCGTTTATGGAGTGGCTTGGGATATGTGACGGGTCGAGCAGGATCTGCACTAACCGTAGCCGAGGTGAAATCGTCCAACGGGGTTTTTACGGCCTCCCAATTTGGGTTTAGGGCGCTGCACATCCCACAAGGCTGGGAGGCTAGGGCTTTTTGCCTCGCGTGGGTGAATCGTCATTCCCCACGTTAATCTCCGAAAAGAATTATAATTCGATTATTTTACCTCGCTTAGATTAATTTTAATTGAATTTTCAAACCTAAATAAGAAATATCAATTAAATTAAGCTTTGGAGCAGACACCGTCCCATTAAAAATATATTTTAATAAAAAGAAAATACAATTAATTAAATTATTTTTTTTTAAAAAAAAGAATCAATAAATCAAAAATGCCGTAACGTAAATCGTAATTTTGCCTGAGTCGGCATCGTCCACTGGCGATCATCTAAAGCCGCCCGCCTACTTTCTAGGTATAAACCGCGTGCTATCCCCCACCTTAACTGAGGCCGAACTTGAAGCGCATCTGGATCAACAACTCCAATACATCTTTTTCTTCGTCATGGATCTCGCCAACCTCCTCTCTCACACGGCTGTCAAGCCCGTTACTCTCGAGTCCAGCTACTATAAGCGCTCGCCTCTGTCGCCGCCAGCCGAAGAGCCTAAGGTTTCATTGCCTTCAATCTCTTCACTCTTTGAGGGTGCCGATGGTCAGAACTCAGCTAGTGAGTACTTACTATATATACAACCTCAACAAAAAAAAACATCCATTAACCTTATCCCTCAGAACGCCAACGTCTCTCACCATCTGTCGGTGACCGCCACGTGCGGGTCCAGTCATACGAGATGCCCCCAACACCACCTCTGCGCCCCGGCTCTGGCCACGCCCACCGCCGCGCATCTCCCGTGGAGTCTCTCTCCCACAAGGAAGCACACCACATCCACCGTTCCTCCATCTCCAGCAACAGCTCAATCCACATCGCCCGCAACACAGCACCCTATGCCTCACCCGCCCCAAGCGTCTCATCCTACACATCTCCAATCGACGCCCCGCAACAGCCAATGTACTACCCGCGCCCACCAACCGCATCTTCCTTCCAGCCCTCGACACCATCAGCTCCGCAGATGCCCACCGTGATCCAGACGCAGCACTCGCACTCGTCCTCGGCTCTCATCTCGCCCGTCACTCCGGCCTGGCAACACCACCACTACTTCCCGCCCTCCACTACAGCCCCGTACCAGCAGAACCACGACCGGTATATCTGCCGTACCTGCCACAAGGCTTTCTCGCGTCCTTCTTCCCTGCGCATCCACTCCCACTCGCACACGGGCGAGAAGCCCTTCCGCTGTACCCATGCTGGCTGCGGGAAGGCTTTCTCCGTGCGCAGCAATATGAAGCGCCATGAGCGTGGCTGCCACTCCGGTCGTCCGGGCCCTGCTGCTGCTACTGCACTTGTTGTATAAGCGGTGGAAATTGTTACGGTATTCTTTCGATTCTTGTTATGTTTTTTACCTAGGGGTGTTTTTTTCTTTTGTTAGGTGGGGATTTCCTTTGTTTGGCGTTATGTGTGATGCCGTGATGATACCCTGGATCTTGGTTCTTTTTATCGGATTCCCATTTGGTTTAGATGGGTCGGTTCTATACACTATATAAAATAACGATTCTCAATGTATATTTTATGACGAAGGTTGTTTCTATTTTGTTATCCTGTATTCTGCGTAGTGCTTGTAGTTCCATTTCTGTATATAAATCACATCGGCGGTCCCCGCCAAGGGTAATAGTTCCTCGGCCACCGGTGAGTCTTACGATAAGCCAAGTCCCATCAACTGTTCTCGTTCGGACTGCTCAAATCATGAATACTTGACCGAACCGGACAACTCTGAACACTCCGTTGTCTGGTACGCAGTCATTCTTGTCTATGCCTTAAATGTATCATCAAATCATTACCAACATAACCTTGGAAGTAATCCCCTTCCAAAATGAAATATATATATATATGTGTATGTGTGCCCAACATCCAACTCACACCAACATATATCTACTCATCCAAAACGCCCCTCACCAACGCCGCAAGACTAGTCTCATACCGCGCGGGATTATGATCACTCAACATACCACCCGCAAAGCGCAACTCCCCAAACCAAGCCTCCACATCCCTCACAAAGCGAATCTGCACACGAGTCGCCGGCCTCCCAAGCCGCGGATACCCATCTCCGCCGATCTCCGGCGCCGTAAACGCATCCCGCTGCAGAACCCGCATCGTCTCAACGACAAAAACCTCCCCGGGCGGCATGAGTTTCGGCGCACGCATCTCATCCCGCAGCAGCTTCAGCGTCTTCCACGCCCACGCGTCTTCGCCGACGCCATCGCCCGCATTGACGACTAGCGGGGGCTGATTGACGTAGAATTTATGGATGATGCTCTGGCGGAGCGAGTCCCGCACCCGTTGTCGGATGTGCGCTTTGGCGCCTGTCGCGTCGTCTTTGAAGGATACTGACGCTGTGTGCATGTCGTGCAGGATGCCGAGTGACAGGCTGGGGACTATGTCAGAGCCGTTCACGATGGTTGTTATTAGGCCTCGCGTGGCGAGGCGGAGGAAGGGGGACATTGTAGCTGGGGGGCCGTAGGCGTAGACATGGATTGGTCGGTTCGGTGGGAGGGTGTAGGTTGGTGGGATGGTGGGATTGGGGTTGGCATCTGCGGTTAAGAGGCGGGGACGGGTGGCGGGTTGGTATGAAGCTGTTACGAAGGATGTGCCTGTTGCAGAAGAGGTTGGTTCTGAGATCATCGTTGCGAGAAGGGCTGCGACGCCTCCACCGAGCGAGTGTCCGCATAGGACTATACCGTAGTCTTGGAATTCTTCTAGTGCCGCACGCAGGGTGGTCATGACTCGGCCGCCGCCGCCCTCTAGGAGCCGCTTTGCTGAGGCGTGCATGCCTTTGTGCACCTTCCAGCTTTTGCCCTGCCATTCGAGGTCGTCATAGTCGCAAGTCATGTCTGTGAGGATGTCCTCGAAGCCCCATGTTCCGCGTAGAGTCAGGACCACTGCTTTGGAGTCATGGTCGATAGAAAGGTAGTGGACCAGTGGGAAGCCTGTCTCTGTCTCGCCAGCTGCGTTTGAGCCACCGGCTGGATCGACGAATGATGATAGGAGGATCGTAGAGGGTGGAAGACCTGCGTTCTCTGAGAACGCACTGTGCTCGTGGTTGTCTGGTTTTGTTTTAGGTAGATTCCTCGAGTCGCTGGCAACGCCCATGACCGTGAGCGCATTTGAGCCATATGAGGCAGCGGAGAACCGACAGAATCGGCGGATGTTCTGCACGAAGTGTCTTTTTGGAAATATGCCTGGGACAAAACCATCGCGGTTGAGTGCTTGGATGGTTTCCATGTCTTCATATGCGCTTTTGCGAGGCCGATGCGCAAGCAGTAGTGATGTCTCGGACCCTGCAGTTGCTAGTGAATATAGACTGGGGGTGTATGATTGGGATATGCAATGCATAGATGACGAGCCGGGCCGGTTGTCATTGGCAGATACAGTCCCATCTGCTTCCGATCTTGTTACAGACAAGGAGCTGCTGCTGCGAACGTGAGTCTGGAGCGCAGTTGGCGATCCAGAACGGAAATCAGCACCACGGTGTGAGAGGAATGTGTCAGTTTGAGTGAGGAGTGACTCTTGGCTCTCCTCTCGCACCGCGAAATGGCCCCCTCGTGAGCCCTGAGGGGTGTGCATTTCGTGAGATGAGGTATGTTTCGTTTGCGACTGTGGCGATTTTCTTTGGGGGGAGTTTGGAAACGGCGACCTTCGTAAACCCCGATTCGGGACAGGGGTTGTCGGTCGATGATTTAAAGGTTCGGTGTGGCTCTTCTTGAGAGGAGGTCTGCTGGAGACATCTCGCGCAGTGGCTTGTTTCACAGAAGCCGTTCCTTTCGTAGGCCTGGGGGGTAGGCGAGGACCTGGGATCTCCGAGGGCCCGGATGCGTTTATAGATGGCCTCTTTCCCGGTAGCTGCCTGGCCTCGTTTCTTTCCGGGACAGTTGGCTTAACCTTTTGTGCAAATTTCGCGAATGAGCCTTTACTAATTGTAGCCTTGGGAGGTTCATTCGGCGAGTTGGGAGTTGCTCCACGGCGCTTGGGAGCAATGGCCTGTGTGGCATCGAGATGCGAACGCAACTGATCATGATGGGGCTTTACCGGGCTAGTGGACAATGGGGTGCCCGGCACTGCTCGTTCGTGATGATCAGGCCCAGGTAAGGCAAAATCCCCAGAGCCGTCATAGGGTCGTAGCTGAGTGCTCTGGGATTTGTTGAGTGCTGTCCTAAACACCACTGTATGCCTGGGATACCGTCGCTGGCCATCGGTCGTGTCATTATCCCCATAATCATGATCATGGTGGAATCTCTCCTCTATCATTTTCGTTCCAGGGGGCGCGGCAATCTCCGCCGTGTCATCATCGTAGATATCGACTGTGATTGTTCGTGCCGTCAGGACTTCCGATCTAATAGATGCGTGGCAGCCCTGAGGAAGTTGGCTCATAATATAAGCGCGGATATCCTCATCGGACACTTGCTGCTGACCATCTAACGGAATAGAGAGACGATGCCCAAACGGATCAGACATGCTCGACCGTCGGATTACATCAATGGCTTCCTCGCCATTTCCAGGCATTACGAAGGAAGCACTGCCAGCTTCCACCAACTCTTCATTATTGCGATCGGGGAATTGCAGTTGATGTGATCCGATCACGTCTGCTCTTGCGCCGTTGTCCAGAATGACAACATCCCAAATAATCTCATCCCCGCCATTCTGCCGCAGATGTCTTTCGGTATTCTTCTTACCCCAACGCTGCAATAGCGCGAAGCCTAAAGAGCCAACAAGGAGGTCTCCGACACCGATATTCTGAGTACTTGCGCCGGGTTCAACGGATCTAAACTCACGTCGAATAAGCGTGATAATAGCCGCAATAGCCCTCGACGACTCGGTAGATCCAAGAATGGCATCCAAAGTAGACAGAAGTGCCTGCGAGAGATTTGCAACCGAAGACAAAGTGGTCGACGAGAAATGAAATGTCGCTGCGGCAAAAAAAGATGCCGAGGTCACTGTCGTATGGAGCGTCGCCAACTAAGGGGTTATTAGTTAAGGCCAAGCTGACAGTTGACAGCCTTGCAGGTTCAGGAACATACACTTCGCTCGAGAAGAGAGTCGGCTTCTGTTTTGCCGTGTTCGTCGCTACTACGAATCGCGACATCTCGTCCTGCCCTCGTCAAGATCCCTTCAACCAAAGCCCGACTCAGTTCTAAGCTGGTCAGAGTCGTCGCTCGCGCGCCATCTAGGGCCGCCCCGCCAAAGAACGTGCCTAATCGTAATGATAGAGAGGTTGTCTGGGTAATCAGAGATATCAATGACGCGACTGGTCGCGGGAGCAGAGTCGATGAGGGAATGTGAGCGTGCGAGTCGGTCATGCTTGGACTCAGTAAACATATCAAGAATATATTCAATCCATGAAGATAAAATTGGTTTACATTTACTCTTGTTTCTCCATATACGGAGGAAGCGTAAGCCAGTCCCCTCAACCCCAACACCCAACAATGAGGATCGCCCTTTCACATGTGATCTTCCAAGACTTCTATACACTACAATGTATTAATTCTGCTACATCATTGCTTTCACGTCACCTCCGTATTGCACCTTGCGAATCTGACTCCGGTCGCAATCTTTCACCCTCCGAATCCCCGATAGGCCCATGTTCTGCCATAAATCAGCCAAAAGACCCTTGAGCACCTGTCTGGCTCCATCTCGGCCCTGAATGCTCAATCCGTAAATCACCGGTCGACCAACAAGAACTGCTTTAGCTCCTAAGCATAATGCCTTGATCACATCCGAGCCCGTCCGAATACCAGAATCAAAAAGTACCGTCATCTTATCCCCAACCGCATCAACTATCTCCGGAAGAACGTCCAGAGACGCGATGGCACCATCCACTTGACGACCTGGGCAAAAATTATTAGGGAAAACAATGGGAAAAAAAAGCCGATGAAAGAACCATTTACCACCATGATTTGATACCACAATTCCATCACACCCATATTTTAATGCCAGCCTCGCATCCTGCACATGCTGAATTCCCTTCAGCACAATCGGCCCATCCCAATTCTTCCTCAAGAAAGCTAAATCCTCCCAAGAATGCGGATTCCCCGCGAAAATGTCCCCGATCCACGCGCGCGAAGCACCAATAATATCATCCTCAACCTTCGATCCAGTTTCCTTCTCGAACTTCGCGCGGAAAACAGGATCGCTAAACCCGACCTGGTTCCCCACCCCCTTGATAAAGGGTACATAGGCGTTATCCAAATCCGCCGGTCGCCACGCCAGCGACCAGGTATCCAAGGTAACAACCAGAACCGAGAACCCGCTTTCTTTTGCGCGCTTTAGAAGCGACAGTGTAATGTCATTGTCCTTCGGCCAGTACAGCTGGTACCATCGCTTCCCGTCCTTGTTGGCGGTCGCAACATCTTCAATCGAGCTCGTGCTCGCTGTGCTCATCGTATACGGCACTCCGACCTCCTCGCATACTTCTGCAAGGCCCGTCTCCTTGTCTTCGTGGAAGATACCCTGTACGCCGACCGGTGCTACGATAAGGGGATTATCGTATTTCTGACCGAAGAGCTCGACCGAAACGTCTTGCTCGGGTGTCTGGGTATGTGGTCAGTGAGAACGTAGTTTTTTGTATATTGCCTCAACTCACATTCCGCATCATACGTGGGATTCTATCGGGTTTGTCCGTTAGTTTCTGAGTATCATGGTAAATTTAGACACCTACAGCTTCCACTGCCGGAATGCCAGCCGGTTGCTGTCCATTGTCGCTTTTTCGCCTGCTCCGCCGGCGACATAATTGAATGCGCGAACACCTAGAGACTCTCGAGCTTGCTCCTCTAATTTGCGAGGGTCTGTGGTTACGCCGGGCAGGATGCCCATTAAGGCACCCTTGCCGTAGATCTCTGTTTGGTAGCTGCCGTAGTTATCAGACATTGTAAAGCTTGGTGAATTGTTGTAAATTGATAGTTGGAGTGTTACAGAATCCAAGTCGAAATCTGGGGGAGACTACCTATGCCCCTCTGTGATGCGGAGATGAATTCAACCGAGGTTACATAGCTTGCATTAGCGTGTTGTTTTATAAAGTCCTTGCTCTTCCATAAATTGTAAAAATCTAAATGAATTATAGCTTTTAAATCATTTCTTTACCCCACAGCATAACTACTCCGAGCTCTAAGTCTCTCACCATACCTCCAAAGAACAACAGGCACCGGAAAGCCCATAACAACAGCAACAAGAGCAAGAATAGTAGTCCCCCATCCATAACCCAACGATTGATACATCTTCGGACCGAAAAGAGGAAATCCAAACCCTGTTAATCCACGAAGAATGTAAACAGCACCTGTCGCACTAGCCGCATACAAAGTAAAAGCCTCATACAGATATGCACTGGTACACTGGAACAGAACCATCGCAGCACCAGCGAACAAGGCGATACCCAGATCAGGCACAATCCAATGCGTTACAGCCTGCGCTCCCCATCCGTACCACAGCAGACCGACGGGAGCGAGGATCGAGGCTGGGAACATGAGAACTACTCTGAATTCCGGTTTGCCATTTCCGCCATGCTTATTCTTCAAGGCTCTGTAGATTGGGTCTGCGAGGAACCCGCACACCTGTGAACCAAAAAAGTATCCGATTCCCAGTGCAAGGTAGTTTAGACTAGCTGTGCCGACGGGCTGGTGGTATTTCTCTTGCCAAAGAGTTGCGAAGGTCGAGAGCACTAGATACATTAGGCCGTATAGATAGGCGTAGAAGATTGCTAGGAGCTGGACGATGGGCTGGACTCTTAAGAGCTGCAGGGGTCGGAGAAGCGAGTTGCGGTATAACTGGCCGATTGTCTGGTCTGGATTCTCATAAGGCGTCTTCAAGATAGTGTTTGGCGCAGCCGTTTTCATCATCTTCGCCTTTCTCCTCGCGAGGATAACGGGTGGGTATGTCTCTTTCATAACAAGCAAACCAAGCGCGATCAATACGCCGTCAAAAATACACGTCGCCCAGAATGCCCAGCGCCATGTTGTGTATTGAGTGATAAATCCACCAACGACAGCCCCTAGCGAAGGTCCAAATACAGGCCCAAGATTGTAGATGGCAATGACCCAGCCGCGCTCTTCCTTGGGAAAGCAATCGCTGATGATACCCGCGCCCACCTATGGTGTATTAGATCAAGACCTAGTCGCAGAAGAAGGGCGAGCTCACAACAAGTCCACCCGCACCTCCAAGACCACTGAGTAGGCGGGAGGCGAGTAATTCGCCTTTATTTCGAGAGAACCCACACACGAGGTTGAAGATCAGGTAGAATGAATTCCCTGAATGCAAGACCGCGGCTCTTCCAAATATCTCGCTTAATGGGCCTAATAGCAGGGGGCCGAGACAGTAGGTCAGGACGAAGGTCGACATGACCAGGACTGCTTCTAATGAGCTACCCATGTGCAATTCGTCTTTGATGGTGCTCAACTCGGGTGCGACAATTGATGACGACAGTGGCATTAGAAACACTGAAAGGGAGACAACAAGTGTTATGGTCCATTTCTTCGATCTGGGCCAGTTGAGTGGGTTTCCCGGGTCATTTTCTTCAAAGTTAATGATCAAGGGCTGGGTTTTTTGTATCTCGGCCTTTTCTTGGAGGGCATTTTCTGTGATTGTGAGTTTGCTGTTCATTTCACCATAGACTTGGTGAAGATTGTCATTTGAAATTGGTTGGTTTGATATATTTACTGGTTGGCTCATTATCTTAGTCTCAAGATACTGGCAAGATAGAAATTTTGAAGGGCACATTCTATCATATTGAGTCACTGAACCCCATGAAAGCTAGAGTGCTCATCTTTGCCTATTTTGGATACTACCCGATTAAGCGTTTGCGACAGGGATAGTAACAGCACATACTGTCCCATTGGCTAGGTAGAAAATTCCGAGTGAGTCATACTAATGCAAAAGTTCCAAGATTGGGAAAAGGTAGGGATCTGCAATACATCCAGCACGTTTCCGTGTCTTACATTCTTGCATGCGTAGGCTGAACTTGAAAGCCCAACGCACAAATTAGTGTTCTTTGATAGGACGGTATTGGCTATAACAACTTCAGCCCAACTGTTAACCAGGTAAAGGAGATGAATTAGGCAAGTTTTGGTTCTGGCTTTTGATCAATTAAAACAAGTTGATTGCTAATCGCAAGGAATTGCATGCGAGCTGAAGAATCAAGAACATTGGTGGGTATCTCAAACAAAATAAAAATAAACAAATGCGTGCGTCAATGAGAGGGATATTCCCTCTGCGTGTTCATAGACCATCCCTAGATCATTGCCGAGAGATAATCACGCCGAGTCCCAGATCTTGATAGTCATGTCATCAGACGTGTAGACCACCATTTTTTCATCGCTAGTCAAAGTAATAGCCCGAACCCACCCCGAATAGCCTGTCAAGACTCGGATGCAAGCAAACCCTAACGGCACAGCCCATACGCGGATCGTCAGGTCGTCGGCGGCTGATGCCACCTGGTTCCCATCGGTAGAAAATACGATTGTGCGTATAGGTCCAGAATGTCCCCGGAGAACATCGAGCATGGCGCCAGAAGTGGTATCCCAGATGCGCAGGTCCTTGTCCTGCGACCCGGAAACCAGCAGCTTTCCATTAGGAGAGAAGCAGACAGCCCTGATTGAGGCTTCATGGCCACTTAGTTGATAGAGTTCACTACCAGTAGACGTATCCCAGAGGCGGATTGTATTGTCGTCTGAGGTTGAAGCGAGAGTCTTCCCATCGGGTGAAAAGGCTACAGCACGTACCCAACCCGAGTGCCCATTGAAGGTTTTGAGCAGCGAACCCGAGCTCGCATTCCACAGTCGTACAGAAAAATCATCTGAGGCTGAAGCGACAGTTCTTCCGTCGGGGGAAAATTCCACCGCTCGCACTTTGCCGGTGTGGCCCTGTAACATGCGGTAGGTGAAACCGGTGTTTACGTCGCTGATGCGAATGGTCATATCATCGGAAGCAGTGGCCAGGAATCGACCTGTGGGGGAAAACCTCACAGCGCGCACCCAGTGGGAATGGCCGTTGTCTTTTGCAGCGCCGCGCTGGAGACCGGTGTTGGCATTCCATAAACGGATCATCATGTCATTGGAGACCGAGGCGAGAAGTTGACCATTGCTGGAAAGGGTCACATCCCAAATCCAGCCAGTATGGCCATCCAGAGTTTTGGATGCGACTAGCTCCCCAAAGGAAGGAGCCATGTCCGTCATTGGTTGAAGTGGGATGATTTTGATGATTTTGATAGATTTTGGTTGTGCGAAACCCAGAAAAGCAGAAAGCGAGGATGCCGATGTTCCAGATCTCATATAGCGGAGAAAGGAAAAAGATCGAACTTTCAAATAACAAATTCAGGAGTTGCAAACCTCTGTAAAACACGACGTGAAGGACTTCTCATAGTGAGAATGAAGTTCAGAGATGTGTGGTCTGTCAGCAATGCATTGCGGGGTGGATAGAATTGCAGCAAAAAGTCCCGTTCATGGCATAACCCTTCCAATTGAATTTGGTGCAGAAGAAATCCAAAAGTGATAGTTGCTCGTTTTTCTGCAGCAAATAAGAGGCACAAATAGACAAAAACGACACCAGGATTTGTTATTAGGTAAGCTGGCTAGGCCCGTCTATGGGTGATCTGCTGACCTGCCCTATTTTGCTCTGTTAATATTGACATTTATACTATACAAGGTATAAAAAGGCTTGCTATATCCGACATATGTACATATATACATATATAGTATATATATATCCGACTATCTCAATATCTACTACGGGCTTGCTGATATTGGACTTGACTTGTGGCCTTCTATGCATATTGGCCTCAGGCACCCACAATTTTATGTCATCCTACATAAAATATTGGAAACCATGGTTTCACTACATGTAATAGGTACATCTGACAGGACTACCCAGGTTGTTAATTAGTTCAATGTCTCTTATAACATGATTCCAAGATATTATATATATCAATATAAGAAATAAAATAGAATAAACAGCACCACCTAAGTAAAAGAAAACACAACTCACTTCCCGCTCTTATCAATCGGCTGCAAGGGTTATCCGACCTTTTCTTGGCACTTGGCAACTTTAATTCTTCGTTTTTGCTTTTGGCTTTTTCGCGTGAGATTTTTCCCTTTTGACCTTCAAGAACGTACTTCAGGGGCTATATTAAGTGAGGAATCACCTAGGCCCACAGGGGCCGAGTTCATTGCAACGTTTTCATCTTTCTATATCTTGGGCTTCTCACCATGGGCAATGCTGAGCCTGAAACTGGTTCCCCAATTGAACAAGATATGTCCGATGAAATCAGCCAAGGACCAACCCTCGACGAGGAACAGATCGAGAAGTCTCTGATCAGGAAGATTGATCTGCATGTTCTTCCGTTCGTGGTGTTGTTGTATCTCTTCAGTTTCCTAGATCGAGGTACGTGGTGGGGGGTGGGGTGTCTGACTCATCTCTTTGCAATTCCAACTAGCCTATGCCAACTGGGAATCAAAGCATCAGCTGACTTGAATATGCAGTCAACATTGGAAATGCACGATTGTACGGCCTGGAGGAGGACTTGGGACTCGTTGGCAACCAGTACCAAGTCTCCGTCTCCATCCTTTTTGTGACCTACTGTGTATGCATATCACGCAATCTAGTCCCCGCACGAACGCTAACCCCAATGTTCAGTTCTTCGAGGTCCCTTCAAATCTTGTACTCAAGAAATTAAGGCCGTCTCGGTATATTGCCACAATCGCAGTGTTGTGGGGTATCATTGCCACCCTTACAGGGATCACTCAGAATTATGGCGGCTTGATCGCCTGCCGAATTCTCCTAGGAGTCGTTGAAGCGGGTCTTTTCCCGGGCTTCATAACTTACCTCACTCTCTTCTATAGCAAACGTGAGATTGCCCTGCGAACAAGCTACCTGTTTAGCAGTGCAGCTATTGCCGGAGCCTTCGGCGGGTTACTGGCTTATGGAATTGGGTTTATGGACGGCATCTGTGGATTGCGAGGCTGGCGCTGGATCATGATCATCGAGGGCATCCCGACAGTTCTACTTGGCGTGGTAACGTGGTTCGGCTTGGCGGATGACCCGGACACAGCTTACTATCTCAACAAAGAGGAGCGGGCACTTGTTGCCCGCCGCCGGGGTCGCTATATCGGTCAGACAGAGTCTGCGCAGAAGTTCCACTGGGCGGATGTGAAAGAGGGTGTCTTCGACTGGAAGATCTGGGCATTCTCCTTTGGCCAGTTTGGTATCGATACCATGCTTTATGGATATAGCACCTTCCTTCCTACTATTATCAAAGGCATGGGCAACTGGACCACCGCCGAGGTCCAGGCATTGACAATCCCTTGCTATGGATTGGGTGCCATTGCCTATCTTAGCGTTGCCTGGTTGAGCGATCGCACCCAACACCGTGCATTCTTTATCTGTCTATTCTGCGGTATCTCAGTCGTTGGATATGGCATCTTGATTTCAGACTCGTCTTCGGGTGTGCATTACTTCGGTGCTATGATGGTCGCCCTGGGGCTTTATGTTGCTGTTGGTTTACCTCTCGCCTGGCTGCCTACGAACCTGCCACGATACGCAAAACGCACCTACGCAACTGGATTGCAGCTCACCTTTGGAAACATCAGCGGAGTCATGTCCCCTTTCTTGTATCCTAATTCCGAAGGCCCGCGTTTTGTCCGCGGTAACGCTGTCACTCTGGGTATGGTAGCATTTGCGGGTCTCGTGTATGGTGGCATGTGGCTTTCCTATCGTTTTATCAACAAACGCAGAGCCCAGGGTCTGGAGGACGAAAAAATATCATCGTTGTCAGAAGAGGAGATCCAGGAGATGGGCGATCGAAACCCTAGATTCATGTACAGCATTTAGACGCCTAATCTGGTCTATCTCTATGTTTTTGAATGGATCTTTTCTTTCAAATGATGTCTTATGCATACAGCGGGGAATATGAAAAGTCTTCGATCATCAAGCCGCGACAAGTCAATGTTTATACAAGTTTCGATAATATATCAGATACTAGGAATTGCACATAATTACTTTCGGGGAACCCTATATTCATCTACTTGGCTTGAATAGTTCGCTTGGAACTACTGTGAGTCGACGTCTTTAAAATGATATCATTCCCAACTGTGGGGGTATAAGTCTGGGTATTTGCTATGAAATTGAGAGCAATGGCATTTCCAAATTCACTTTGATCCGTTCTTGCAGATTGTTCGCACATAAGATATTCGGTTCATATCTGGGGAAAGTTCAGCTTAGCCCAACCAGGACCCCATTTTCGTTCTCGAATGTCAGGCTAATCCTTTCTGTCCATTCTTTAGTACTATAGTTGGATACAGTCGAAAAGGTCTGGAAAATACGAGCCACAATGTACGTGAGCACAGTCATAGCATAATGTTCTGTAAAGCCGTCAGTTGGTGTGTTAACCATAAGAGCAAGGGAAGAAAGCTTACGGCCAGGGCAAATTCGAGGACCCTTGTTGAACGGGATAAAGCCAGACATATCACTGCTTAGGTGTTCCCATCGCTCTGGGTAAAACTTATCCGGATTGTCTCCGAAGTCTTTCCCTAGGCGATGCCGAGTCCAGGTTGAGAAAACCACAATATCACCTTTTCGAACTAGAACCGACGATTGGCCATCAGTCCCTCCACCACTTGGCATTGTGGAATGCTTGTTTGCTACCCTTGCGTTAAGCACAGCGGCAGGGAAAACCCTCAATGCTTTGCAAGCTATAGGTCAGTGCATGCTTTGCTAAACGGTTGATTGGGCTTTCCTCACCCTCTTGAAGTACCCAGCGAACATAATGCAACGTTCCAAGCTGACCCCATGTTGGTGGCGTAAGTCCAATAGTGTCAATGATGCTTGCCCGGAGCTTTTGGACGATTCGTTCATCCTGGGCTAAGCAATAGAAAAGACCCGAGAGAGTGGTGCTCATACTATCATTTGCAAGTAGAATAGTCATTGCCTGGTCAACGAACTGCGAAATTTCTTCAGATTTGTCGAAACCAGTGCCAAGATGCCCATCTTTGGTCCTTTCAACTTTGCTGCTTCGTCTTTCAACTTCCCGCCTGGCACGAGCCGTTACAAATTTCCGTGCTCTCCAACACGCCTGATAAAATGCTCGCTTGGGCACCAAATGCCGAAGGGGACCACGGAAACCATCCCGCACAATCCTTTCTTTGACAAGATCAAGATCTTCTACGAACTGCTTCTTTTCTTGGGATTGAGTAAAGCTAAGGGCATCAGTAGACTCTCTGAGAGCGAATCGCGTCTGCATATCCAAAGCGAGAGCAGCAGTGCAACGTTGAACGTCAAAGACCTGGCCATTCTGAGGGACATGTTGAAGAAAGGCCTGAAAGTGCTGCTCACATAAGTCCAGGTCAATGATATTGCGGAGGTTAGACAGCCGATTCCGCAACTGGCCCCGACTTCTCTTCCAGTCTGCACCGTCGAGAGTAAAGATGCCATGTGGAGTGATTGGCTCAAACAGGGGTCTGCGCAGGGGAGAACTATCAAAATCGACAAATGCTGTGGACAACATATGCTTGATGTTTTCTGCACTGCAGGTGAAAATCAATCGGTGGCCGAGAACATTGGATGCATACGTCTCGCCATATCTCTGGAACAGAGAATTTGTATACAGAAGTGATGTTCGTCGATGAAAATGAGAAGCCAATTTTATTGCTTTCACAATGCCGAAGACGTCGTATCGAAAATTATCGCTTTCGTCACAGAGCTTCTCGCAGCCATACAGTCGTTCAAGTGCTCGCAGCTTTCGGATCTGGTATAGTCCTCGTGCCAGGAGAATAATTTGAATTCCAACGAAAGCCAATGAAATAACCCCCAAGAGGCTCCTTTGTTCAGTCACTCCTCCTGATGACTGAGTTGTCATGGTTGAGATATTGCGTACGTTCTCAGATAAAACGGCCATCGAAGATGGGATAGGGTGTGAATCACCTGGGCACCTCAAGCACTGGCTTTGTATGGTTAGAAACTCTTCGCAAAAAGAAATAAAAATTAACTGAACAGATATAACTGCAGGGATGATGCGATACTACTGTACCACACGGCCTTGCCAAGATCCCGCTGCAGATATATTTCTGAAACATTAGTGCTCACTTTTGCTTCTTTGGACTAATGCAGCTACGAGAATATAGAAAACCCAATTTTTCCATTCATTCCGGTGCAAGGATTGGCAACATGTATAAATTTACATATCCTGAGGGCAGAGTTCAGTATGATCCTGTAGATTACATATCATTTCACCCTCAACAATTGAAGGAAACACATTACGAACATGCCTCTACTCAAAGAGTCCAACGGGCCCTCCCTTGCTTCTCAGGTAGAGCATGCGTTGGAGCTTTCAAACGACTATGCCCTCGGGTTGGTACATCCCGACGGTCATTGGTATGGCGAGATGAATAGCAATGTCACTATCACTGCCGAATATATATTCCTTCGACAGGCCTTGGGACTAGATCTCAAAGCCGAAAACGCAGCATACTCTCGTTATCTACTATCTCAACAGAATAGTGATGGCTCCTGGGGTCTGGCACCCGAGTACCCAGGCGATGTATCAACCACGACTGAAGCCTACCTCGCACTGAAGATCTTGGGGACAAGCCCGCATATCCCAGCCATGCGGAAGGCCCGAGAATTTGTGCTAAAGGCAGGTGGAATTGCGCGGGTGCGCGTGTTCACCCGTATCTACTTGGCCACCTTCGGTCTGTTCCCTTGGGGTGCAGTACCGGAACTTCCTGTGGAGCTCATACTTCTGCCCTCCATCTGCCCAATCAACATCTACAAGTTTGCATCTTGGGCTCGCGGTACAATTGCTCCCCTGTTGATCATCTGCCACCATCAACCTGTGTACCCGCTACCGAATGGAAAATCCGCTACGAACGACTATCTAGATGAGTTATGGCTAGATTGCACGAACAAAATGGTACCTTACAGCCTGTCCCTGTGGGAATTGATGTCCCGAAGAGAATTCACGGGGCTGGCATTTGGAGTTTTGGACAAAGTACTTTATCAACTGAATGGACTCCGTTCCATTCCTTTGGTCCGAGCGTATGCTCGAAAACGATGCCTCAAATGGATATTGGAGCGCCAGGAAAATTCCGGCGATTGGGCAGGGATCTTCCCGCCCATGCATGGCAACATGTATGCATTCACATTGGAAGGCTATACACTAGACGATGATCCAGTCCGTCTTGGATTCGAAGCATTGGAGAGATTTGCCTGGGAAGACGAAAAAGGAAAGAGGATCCAAGCCTGTGTTTCGCCCGTTTGGGATACGGCTTTGATGACGGTTGGACTCTGCGATGCGATGTCACCCAATAGACAGACTATTGAAAATGCTCTCAAGTGGATCCGAGCTCGCCAGTTGCTTGATCCTCGCGGAGATTGGCGCATATACCGACCCCAGTTAACTCCGGGCGGCTTCAGCTTCGAGTACGAGAACAGCTGGTACCCCGATGTTGACGACACAGCTGCTATTATCCTCGCTCAGGTGAAGCACGATGCTGGATCTATTGGTTCTAATTCTGTAATTGCAGCAGCCACATGGATTCTGGGCATGCAGAACCCGGACGGAGGGTGGGCTGCCTTTGATGTGGAGAACGATAAGCAGTTTCTCAATAAAATCCCCTTCAGCGACATGGATAGCCTGTGTGATACATCTTGCGCTGATATCACCGGGCGGATCCTTGAAGCCTTTGGTCTGATGATAAAATATTCTCCTGCAAAGACAGACGTGAATTCTCTGCTACCTCCACTACGTGCGGCATGCGCGCGCGGCGTGCATTACCTTGCTTCTACACAGGAGCCCAACGGATCATGGTTTGGAAGATGGGGATGCAATTACATATACGGCACGAGTCATGCATTATGTGGCCTGGCATGTTTTGCCGAGGAAAGTCTAGTTCGAGTGATGGTTAAGGAAGCTCTACAATGGCTGAAGTCAAGGCAAAATGACGACGGTGGCTGGGGCGAGTCTCTCCTGTCATACCGATTGCCTGACCAAGAGCTGCAGAATTCAACGCCATCGCAGACTGCATGGGCATTGATGGGGTTGCTCTCGCATCTTCCAATCACAGATGATGCTATTGAGCGCGGGATTCGGTACCTGGTGTCCTCGCAAAGACCAGAGAAAGGTATCGGCTCATCGTGGCCCCAAGCGGTATATACTGGAACTGGATTCCCAAATCATTTCTATCTGGGCTATGACTATTATCGCCATTATTTTCCTATGATGGCCCTTGGGCGGTATCTACAAGGCACTCGGGGCTTGAGCTGAAGGGGGCGTTGAACTCAAGCGACCACTTACAGTTGGAGATTATTTTCAGATATCTGCAAATATACTCAGCTGAAACCCAAGACCAATATAATCTCATCCTAAATTCGAGAAGTTGGCCCTGCAGAGCGAAGTCGCATGCAGTCTTATTCAATAACTCGTGCACAGATTGAGCACGCAACCCTAGACTAGATAAGCGAGTGGTCCGTGGCCTGTGAGCCTTACGGCAAGATCTGCCTCCCGTATTGTGCTGAGATTGACTTATCTGCGGCATTATAATTAATATATGTGACTACATACATATGTAGTACTTTTATTAGCGCTGATGGTCGTGGCAAATGCAATACCAAATTACCAATCACCCTGCAGTCTTACACTAGGTCCCCGAAAAAAGGAAAATGAATAGTATTGCATATCCCGGCCCGGATTCATATCATTTATTGTCTTGTTACATACACTTCCAATTCATGTGTTAACGCAAGGGAAGCATTGATTCAACCTCAAGATAAAATATGTCTAAGCTACCTATACTTGCAGGAAGATTCCAATTTAATGAGTAATTTGTTCGAACGACCTTCGAATTCATGAATTTCTTCCAAATCTGAAACAAACTGCATATACGGAGTATGCAAGCTATATTAAAAGACGCATAATATTCCACCGCTCACTCCATTGTAGCCACCACTTCATCGTAGCCATTATTGGATGGGAGGAGCCCATTCTCTTGAATCCCTTACAATCTGAACACTCAACCTCCATTGACTGTTACAGATGGGTCTTTTTGACACATTCGGACGTCAACGGCCAGCAACAGTGCCTGCTGACCGAGTTATTCCTCTGCGATACTGGGATGACCTGGATTACCTACGTTCTATTTGCCATGATTTTACATTAAGATTTGACGATGTGTTGGATGCTTCCAAACTCGAGGCAGCGCTAGGACGACTGATGGAAATCGGAGATTGGGGTCAGATGGGGGCTCGGCTACGCCTTAATGTATAGTCTTTCTCCAATCTAACAATGCAAACAAAACGTAACTAACTATCACAGGGTGATGGAAAACTCGAATATCATATACCAGCATGTTATGACGAGAGGCGCCCGGCATTCATTTTCACGACTACGACATATGGCATGCGCATAGACGATCACCCATTGGGCTCACAGCTGCCGAAAATAGGCCAAGATCAGTCTTTGTTGTCGCCATCTTCCAATTTCTTTGCCCCTATAGTCTGCCACCCAGATGGTCCTCGAGAATTGGCCGATTGGATCTACACCGACCGTCCACAGCTCCATATCCATGCTGCTCTCTTCCAGGATACAACCCTTCTCACGATCAGTTATATACATACATTTATCGATGCTATATCACGGGCGAACTTCTTCCATGCCTGGATAGCTGTTCTTCGTGGTCAAGAAGAAGAAGTACCAGCCTTTGTTCCTTATGACCAAGATCTTCTATATACACTAGGCAAAGACACCCCCAGGCAGAGCTATAGCAATTTCGGGCGAGTATTGAGCGGGCTCAGCCTTGTGATCTTTGGGCTTCGCTACATGTTCGAGATTCTATGGTTCCCAAAGCTGGAAGAACACCCGATCCGCCTTCCGGGACGGTGTGTGGATCGAATGAGGAAAAATGCGCTGCAGGAACTAGCTGCCACTGCTCCAAGGGGAGCAGAAAAGCCCTTTGTGAGCGAGGGTGATGTTGTGGTTGCCTGGTGGGTAAGGACAATGATCAAAGCTTTGAAACCCTCACCGGACCGGACGATTATGGTGATGAACGTCTTCAATGTGTGGAACCTTTTTCCTGAGTGGTTCCCCAATGGTACCGCAGGCCTTATTGGCAATTCGTTCTTCTATTCCTATACCCTGCTTGTTGCAAGAAACGTTCTCCAAGATATCAACTTGAAGTATGTGGCGTCCACAAACCGCAAGGCTCTCATGGAGCACAGAACCAAGCAGCAAGTTGAGGCCATGACTGCCATCCAGAGAGGAAATTTTATGAGAGCAGCACCCCTGGTCGGGGATTCGAAACTGCTTTTCATGGCCTCTACTAATCATCACAAAGCTAGATACTTTGAAACAGACTGGTCGACGGCTGTTATTGCTCCCGGTGTGCCTTTAAGTGAAAGGCCTCATGCCCTCGGCAGACCATCGTACATCAATGATATTGAGTATTGCCGTGGGTACCCGTCTCGTAACATTCTGAGAGTCATTGGAAAAGATGCTGCGGGTGATTGGCATCTTTTATTCAAGGCTAGAGCCGGTGCTTGGCCGGTGATTCATCAGGAGTTGATGGAGCTGATTGAGACAGAGATGCGGGATTGATATGCTCCTTGATACGTCATAATCTGATCCAAGGTGCTCTTCCAGCTATTACCTAGTTAGCCACTGATAACACTATGTATGTGAGACTATAGTATCATTATATTTAAAGCTGCTCCATATTTCCCCAGCTCAATAACCATATAGATTGCAAATATGGCTTAAACATGTCTCAAAGCTCCCTCTATTTAGATCCAATGTTGCATTTTCCCAGGTATTGCCATAGTTATGTAATTTTATTTGGAACTTATTCTGGATATTTCGCTTCCTAGGAGGAACGGATTCAACGGGTTAGTCTGAGACAATTATGTAGGACAGACTACCTGAGGATTGGATGCAATTTCAGAACGATAACACTAGCCCAGCAATTATTGTCTTTGTGCAACGAGATAATTCCAAATATACACGTGTCTTGATCTATCGATCTAGTAAATAAACCGAATCACATTCGTCAGACAGTACTCCGTACATACGAACTATTCTTAGTACGGTTGGTATGTCTTGGGTATTTCAGGCAATCCAGACATTTGAGTACGACATAGAATTTGGCACAGAATTTGCACCCTATTCAATCTATTCCATTGTAACATCCTTCTCTATGGAGGGCAATTTCCTATACTACGGAGTGGAGATAGAACAGAAATCGCAACACAAGCGTTTGAATACGATAAAAGCTTGGCCTCGGCCATATTCCCAAATGGTTAGTAGGCATTGTCTTTCTAGGTCGGAATATTCACTGACCTTGATCTTATACTTCTTTTGATCGAGATTGCCGCCAGCTTGCTTTGCAGAAGCTTGGAATCATCGGATGATTACACGCTCTCTAAGGAAGCTCTCCATCGGATGACTTGCTCGTTGCTTCAAACCACTTCCCCCTTTAAATCTTCCTCTATCGCCTTTCATTGGTGATTGAGAATATCGACTATTTATGGCTGAACCTGACCAGTAAAAGGCCGGTCCCTCCTGGAAAGCACCAGTTGTGAGCAATCCTGCTACTCTGCCTTTATCAAGCCCCTCTTTGATGCAGTGGAGGTAAGCTTTGTCGTCTTTTAATGCTTATCTTTGCCCCAAGAAAGTTTTATGTTGTTGGCTCAAACCTTTAGGCCAACGACAATAATTGCATACAAATCTACCCAGATGGGGTCTTCTCCCTTTGTTCATATACCCTCGCAGTCAACTCATCGAGTCCTCCCACCATTCCCGTATTGGTCCCCGTCAACTTAAATTCTGTGCTCCATGTACACGCATTTCGTGAACTTGTTCTCATGGACTTTCGCGAGAATCACGTTTGCCTTTTGGATGAGTCTTCTGGGCTATAGCTTTCTTGTTCAACGCCACAATCGTCTCTTATGGGCCAATAAAATCCGAGGATCTGAAACTAAACATGGTCGATTCTATCTTCATATTTCAGTGCACCTTTGGTGTAGTATCGAATTAAAGGATATTCGGAACACTACGTTCATGGTTAGTAATTCAGTCGGGAAGTTTGCGAAAGCAGACTCACCTTTTCACTCTGGGGCGTATTGAAGTCTAGGACATTTCGGAGATCTTGGATGCTGTGCTGGCAGTTCGCTCGCGATGGTAGCGCAAAGCGGCAGTTTGGCGGTAGTAGTGATAAGGTCCTTTCGGGATAGGGATGTCAGCCATGATGATATGTAAGACACCATCCACCTGGCATGGATGGTTGACGAGATAAAAGGTGCAAGCTCAAAAGCGAAAGTCACAAGAAAGGCTGCTGAGCCTGCCTCAGGATAGGCCTGGATTGGTCTTCCTTCCTAGGTCTCGACGGATCCAAGGTTGTTCCATGGTGCGGTCTACTCTGTACAAACTTAATAAATGACTTTGGATCTACCAGTCTGAACTTGCCTATTTCATGTCCCTTCTCTTCTACTATCCGCGGCCTTCTTTGGTTTTTATTCCCTATATCTACGCTATGTCCGATTCCATTCTTCGTCGTGCTATTCGCCGCTTTCTTGAACACAAGATTGACACCCAAGAAATGGCAAGAATCCTAGAGACTCCCGAGAAGCCTGAACCGCTCGCAGTGACCTCGTTGAGTTTGCGAGATATCGAGAAGATCCTTGGTCTCACTCAGGTCATGGATGATGAGTTCGACTTTGTTGTACCTATCCCCGTTCCGCAAGATCTTAGTATGTTAACCCTATAGATTATACAAAGAAATTAGCTAACCTCAGCTAGAACTCTGGTCAGAAAAGTCTGACCGCGCTTACGGTTCTAGCTGCGCAAACGAAGCTAGTATCCGCTGTAAGCTTAACCTCCTCCTTATCTGCGCTCACGATCTGGTATCGTCGTCAACAAACAAATCCGCAAGACCCTTGGCCGTTCAGAAAGAGCGTATATGGGCTTATAGCCCTGTGGAATGGGAGGGGAAGATACGGATGCTATGGGGACGTCCCGACTATGGTGTTTGGTATGGAGAGAAAGAAGACTTCGACTTAAACCTTGTCATTATGGAGGCCAAGAGACCGAATTGTGGTACTCAAGGGGTTCCGCAGGCGCTAGCATATATGGGTAAGTAGATATTGTCGTTATAACGCACTCTTTAAGTCTAACCTATCAAAAGGGTGTGTCCACAAGCAGCGCAAAGATCTTGGTAAGACAGACACTACTGTCTACGGTATCTCCACCGATACTATGAATTTCACGTTTATGAAGCTCGATAATGAATCTCGGGTAAGTATATCTAATTGTATCAATGACCCAATTCTATTCTAATATTTACTAGTGGTCGTTCAAACCAGTCGGTGTCGGTGAAAATTCGTTCGAACAAGTGCTTGGTCTGCTAGTCTACATAATGGAGAAAGCGGCCTCAATGTCACCCGCCACCTCCAAAGGCACATCTCGCCGGACGCAACAAGGATCAGGGGAGTCTGACCTGATCTTCGACCATATCCCTGAGATGGATGATGAGATGGATGTTGAATGATTTCGTCGCCGCATTCGTCCTCTGACCTTCTCTCACGTCTTCTTCGTCTTCTTCGCTGCATTCTTATTCTTCTTCGCTGCACCGTCTTGATATCCTTCTTATTCTTCTTTCCTGCTTTGCTGTGTCTTCCACTCATTGCTCTTCTTATTTACCCATGTCCCTTCACGAGTATTACTTGATCAAAATATGAAACAGTATATCCTAGAAATCATCAAATCCATATACAGTAAACCCCTGTTATAACGAACGTGGATATAACGAATACCCGCTTTAAACTAAAATCAGTGCCTCATTTAATATGCCATAGTAATGACTAAATTTTACGAATACCTAGACTTAACATTTCACCGTGGCTCAATTGATGGGGGTTTACTATATATATAGAGAACGATGACGAAACAAACCTGGCTATTTGAAACTGTCGATCCTGGCCCACTTGGCTCCAGGGTTGTGAGGAACTCCATGGAAAAGATGTCGCCACTGTAAATACGTTACCCGATAAGCTTTCAGGGTCTCCTTTTTTTTTTTGTTCCCCTTATCGTACGATACAAATACATAATGTATGTATCAATATAATTGTATAAATTGTGGATGAGTAATAAGAATGTTTCATAGGGACATCTCAAAAGAGTTAAAAGGGTTTGAAGCCCCATTATACAGAGTAGGTATATGGTGACTACCAAGTATGCCCAGAATTATGGTATAACATTGTAAAGGAAGGACGCGTGTCTGTGGGGGGCGTCGGCCTCATTTGCCCCTCCGGCTAATTTTGAGTGGTTGACGCGGCTGAGGGCCAGGCCGATCGTCTCTGGTCATTTCCCTCTTTTTGACATATAATTGTTGTATACCTGTCCTTTCCGTTTGATACTGTTAAGAGGTAATAGTTACATATATATATAGAAATTGAAAATTCTTATATTGCTACTTTGTAAGACTAATACATTACTTGGTCCAAGCGTCAACTTGATAACAGTGACGTGATCTTCAGCTCTATGTGGTTATTATGCTCACATCATGATGGGATCTCGGGGTGCGAACAGATGTTTTGAGTCGCTTATATTGTCCGAGATTGAATTATTCAGGTCCAGACAGGCGAAGCTAGATGCAATGTCCCGACGAATTCGGATAGTGTATCTATACATAGAACCTATCTACATACATACATGTATGTACTCATTATTCTGTACAACATACAATATAAAGACCCTAGGGAGAGAGCAATCGAAGTTAGTAGTAGATATGAGTCTCTGTTCTATCACACGAATTTATGTATGGAGATAGCCTAAACGACTGATCTGCATCCTCACGCGAGCCTGCATCCGAATATGTGTTGCCGCAAACGGCCTTCTCGACCTTCAAGATACTTGAAACATGTTTATTTTGAGATGCCAAGGGCCATATGACCATTTCCGACTTGAACAACCACACCTGTTCCCGGGTTAGACAAGAACATTGTTGTGCTCGAGACAGGGGAGCCAAAAAAAAAGGACTGTGCCGATCATCGGTTTCATGGTCATTGAAGCTGGGAGGGGATGATCAGCCAACAGCATTCCTTTTTCCATCATGATCGACACTTAGATTCAACAGTGATATGCAGCAAAGGACAACAAAGTGTCAGCCACATATTACTTAAAATGGTCCTGTCAAAGGGCCTTCGTGCATCCTAACTTGGAATCAACACCGCAACCGGGGGTTGAATACCAAGATGTTAATATCAAGCCACAATATATTCATTCTGATATCTTATATCACTGAAAACAACGTATCACATGAAAAACGGCCGAGCGAAAGTCATATACATATGCACATCAATGTACAGAGTAGAAAACAAATAGAAAAAGAAGTTAAAAAAAAAAGGAAAAGAGCTAAAAAATAGATTACGGTAATACCTATACAACGGCCAACCCTGTCCCGTTAATTGCTTCGGCGGCCTCCCTATTTCTTTCCTCCTACAACACCTTCACGACACAATCCTATAAGCTCTCATCGACTTTTCACTCGGACTGGGCACATCGTCCAGCCGCGTTAGTCTTGTGTTTCTTTTCTCTTTCAATCCTCCTGCTTCCCCCTTTACAAGCGCTCCCCTTTAGACCGTGTCGCAGGTCCCGACGCTGCCAGCCTCTCGTTGAAATATCTCGGCACTTTATTTGCCTGCCACTCTTTAATCCACTTTTGGAACACTCGTTTATTTGACCCTTCCCCTCAAAGCGGGAATTGCGTCTTGCTACCAGCTTTTGCTGCACGATATTTCCGGAATACGACACCTCGCACGCCGAACCCATAACTTTTAATTCCAGGGTTCATCTGCCCCCAATTCCGCTTCGCCTTCTTCTATTTACATGGTTGGAAAGTCAGCATTCAATACTGGAAAAGCCAAAATGCCTCTATTTCGGATGAAGACGGTATTCCCATTGGTCGCTTTGGTGACCATCGGAATCTTCTTCTTTTGCATGGAACGCTACGACCGCTCAGCTTTCCTTCGGTTCAAGCACCCAGTTGATCGGGCCACCTTCGGTGGAAACAAGCAACCTCAAGTACAAACGCCGGCACAATCAGATTCGCAGCAGCCGGCCAGCAACACCTGCGAGGCTGACCCCAAATTGGCCGCCCCCTTACCCTTCTCTGAATGGCTCCCCCGCAAGAACTATACCCGCGCCTATTTCCGTCCTCGTCATGTGAATCCTCGCACCGAATTCCACACTTTGGAGGAAGTCGAGAAGCCTGTGCTCCCACCCATGGTTATCATGGAGCGCGGTATGATCGTGTCTCCCGAGAACAACCCGGAAAACTTTGTCTGCCCCGAGATCATTGACGTTGATGTGGCTGCTGATGACGATGTTGAGGAGACCTCCAAGCTTCTGTTCGGTCTGGCCACCACCGTCGACCGTCTGGACCGCCTGCTCCCCTCTCTGCTTTACTCCTACGGAAATACCAAGGCCGGTCTGATTGTTCTGGTTCCTGAGTCTGATGACGACCTGGAGAAGCAAGAGACCTACTTCCGCAACCGCGGTCTGGATTTGACGCTCAAGGCCTCTCCGCTCGACTTCACTGCCCGTTACTTTGGTATGGTCGAGGCGTTCACCGAGCACATTCGCAAGCACCGCCCGCACACCACCTGGGTTGGATTCAGTGATGACGATACCTTCTTCTTGTCGCTCCCCACTATCGCTGAAGAGCTGAAGCTCTTCGACGAGAAGAAGAAGCACTACATTGGATCTTTGTCTGAGGCTAGCTGGCAAGTGGATGCTTTCGGCCACATTGCTTTCGGTGGTGCCGGTGTGTTTGTGTCAACACCTCTTCTGGAGGTCCTGATGAAGCACTACGAAGAATGCCAGTCCTGGGGCGAGCAGCCCGGTGATCAGAAACTTGGCCAGTGTATCCAACGCTTCGGTGACACCCCTCTGACCCTGTGGCCTTCGCTCTACCAGATGGACATGGGAGACCCCGTGGACGGTGTTTATGAGTCCGGTCGCAAGATCGAATCAATGCACCACTGGAACAGTTGGTACACCAAGGACGTGGTCAAGATGACCACCGTTGCTGCTGCCGCAGGCCGTAAGTCTGTTCTCCGTCGCTGGGTCTTTGATCAGGAGGAGACTGTGAACAGCGCTACTGGCGAGACTCTCCGTCATTTCTGGGTCATGACGAACGGCTATTCGCTGGTGAAGTACACATATGGCGAGAATGTGCCGGATGATGCTATCAACTTTGATGCTACCGAAAAGACCTGGCCCGAAGACCCCCACGGCTATGAAGATCGCCTGGGTCCCTTGCGTCCTGCAGAGGAAGAAGGCGTTACTAAGGATCGGTGGTTGCTTCGTGACGCATTCGTCGTTGGTGAGAACGTGCACCAATTCTATGTTCGCGAAGAAGATGAGGGCCACAGCGTGATTGAGATTGTCTGGCTCGGTCCCAAGGGCGGCGGCGGTGGTGGTGTGAGTGACCATTATCATCGTGGCACTTACCAGCAATAAAATTGCACCGCTACTACTTGAGGCTGGTCCTTAGGACTGTTGCTCGTACTTCTTCACTTCACTGCACATGATTCGGCTCTCGTTTATTTTCTAAAATACTACACATCTTCCTCTTGCTCTTTTTACTTCCCAATTTCACGACACCAGCCCATCATGTGTGCAAAATCGACCAACTCAACAACCCTTTTCTTTTCCGGATGAGACTTTTGATCGTGACTTGCCCTTCGCGTCCCCCAGTTTCTGTTTCATTTATCCGGCGTTGCATTGGCGGAGTCCAGTACGGTCCAGGAACCTGGTGGCTTTGCGTACTCCCTCTATATCCTGATGGTGTATTCCTTTTCTTTTTTGAAATGTTCAGTGGACTTTTTTTTTTAACCATCTTCTCTATCCCTGGATCCATGACGGCCTTGACCAAGATATGCCACACTTAATCGGTTTGGCTTTGCTCTTATCTTTCCTTATTTCTTATTTCCTCCTCTTCTTCCGGTCTTAAGTGTGCTTTGGGGGGAAAGCCACTTTTCGAATTCTATGCCTTGCATCCTTTCTGTAAAAATAGACTTGACAACAGACCCGTGTTAGGGTCTCGGTTGGTGATTAGCGTTGAACCTTTGTTCATTATGTGAAGAATATGATCAGTTTTTGTCAGTTCAGTCTTGTGCAGAGTATTCCTTAGTACGTAGGAAGGAATCCTGAAGCGACCGAGTTGGACTGCTGCATCGGGTCTAGGGCTTCTCGGACCGGCCCGTCGGTTTTGGTTATGTGGATTCGGTCTTGCATGAACAACAACGGTCAATCTTTGCCCTCGGTGCTCCTGATGCACCCTGTCGCCGTTCAGTAAGGCCGCATGGTAGCCACATGGGCAGGTTTGGGTGAAGTATAAAGGGCAATATTAACCAAGATCAACTGAGGGGGGGATGGTAGATTTGTACTTCGTAGCTGTAGGAGTAACAATAGGAGTAATAATAGTAAGAAGCAGGGAACAAGAGCAGCATACATGACTGGAGATTCCCCTGCCTTTTTGTTAGCAGCCTACTGACCAAGTCAGCCCCGATTTCTGTGAACCTTTACATATCTACATCTGTGGGACACCAAAATAGTATCTCTAGGGGCTCTACGAGTTCCATGCAAGGTATGCATACATGTATGTATGTGCAAGGGGATATGAGATATCTGGGGATTATGGGGTGTGGAGACTGCAGCCTTGTACTCCGTACTTTGCTATGAACGTGAGGTCAATTCCTGTGGTCGCAATTAGAAAGGAATGGAAAATGGACAGAAGAGAGATACATATAAAATACTAGTAGAAATAAGAGAGTGGTGACAGGGGGAATGCCCTTTTTGGGCTATTTATGATTGTACTCTGAATGCGGCCATGCGAGTATGTTGTATACAGGGCCATTATTCCGTGCCACAAAGCAGGTGCGACCCGCGCTTGTGTAATGTGAGCACAGTTTTATTCTTATTTATTTTTTTAATATATATATGTATATATAGGTTCTTTGTAGATGTAATCTTGAAATGGGATATTTCTATGATATACGGAGTACGGAGTACATAGGGTATAATACTATAAACATGGAAAATGATGGATCATAAGCACCTGGGCATGTTTAAAGGTAGAATAGCCAATCATATATCGGACGTTGAGAAGTTCTGCCCCGTCTCGGCATGTGAAATGGAATGGAGTACTTTGTACTAAGTATAGAAAGGTTACATATTTTTGTTTGTTCTCCGAGTTCAAATTGAGAGAAGATGATACATATTTTTATTAAAACAAACCCCGAATTGGAAATCCGTCAATCAATATACCGTGGACTTGAAATCCGCAACAAAGGAAAAAGAGTCCAGACCAGAGGGGAAAAGGGCAAAAAAAGGGCAAACGGGGGGGCCGAAGGAGAGATTAACCAATGAACGTTCAGAGCCAAGAATCGTGTGCAGTCCGAAGGAGGCGAATACAACACTATGACAAGTCATTACACAATTAATCGTAATAGGTACTTCTGACTCATATTAACTTTCCTAGTTATAGAAGTACCGTCAACTTATCTCATCTTCCACACTGTATTAATACCAGCCACACACGTGATCCACGTAACAGACCGCCTGCCCATCGCAACTCGCACTTTGCCTTCTTCGCTCTTCCCCCCCCCCCCATCGATTCCCCCATTCCCTTTCTCTCACATCCCATAAAACGCGTTACTCGATTGGGTCATCTCTTGACTTCCCCTTTCGGTATCCCCCCCTCAAATCAAACAACCACCCCCCAATATCAAACATCTTTTGTTCTTCTTTATTGCCAATATGTCTGCGGTTCTCGACGAAAAGCTTTCCCCTGGTCATGATGACCTTGCCGGCAACGGTGCCGATGCCCGTGGCACCAAGCGCAACCGCATGAGCGCCGATGATGAAGATGATGATGATGACAAGCCCGGTCGTGAACGTCGCAAGATCGAGATCAAGTTTATTCAGGATAAGTCGCGTCGGCACATTACTTTCTCTAAGCGAAAGGCCGGTATCATGAAGAAGGTGTGTCGCGTCCCCGAGACCCTCCGCATCGGTTTCCCGATCGAGGTTCCCTTGCTTTCATTTAATCGATTGGGACTTCCACTAACCATCTTGGGACTCTGTAGGCCTATGAACTCTCTGTCTTGACTGGCACTCAAGTTCTCCTCCTGGTCGTCTCCGAAACCGGCCTTGTATACACCTTCACTACTCCCAAACTTCAGCCACTAGTCACCAAGGCCGAGGGCAAGAACCTCATCCAGGTAAGACATGATCTGCGTCAATGACACTCTTTCATCCATTAACTCATTGAATAGGCATGCCTCAATGCTCCCGACCCAGCCGCCAGCGAGAACGGTGTCGACGCTCCCGATGTCGCCCCCGAGGCCCCCGAAGATGTGGCTCACAACAACGTCAACGCACCCCAGGGGAATATGCGCCCCGGTATCCACCCTGGCTATATGACCAACGAGCAGCAGCAGCAGATGGCCTACTACCAGAACCTCCAGCAGCAGCAACAGCAGGCTGGTGGTCAGTACCCCATGCCGGTTGGCGGTCGCATGCCACCCCAGCACCAACCCACTGCTTAAATGCTTAAATTTACGATCTGATCTGTGGGGTTCCTCCTTGCTCAAGGACCCCGATGCTGCGTCTTCTTCTCTGTTCTTTCCTCCCTGCGCCTCGATCTCGCGTTCATTTGATACCCGTCTCCCTCTGTGCCGATCCATCATCCCACTCTTCCCTCGGAAATGGTCGCGCTGTATCTGCATGCGCCATTCTCCAGGGCACTCTTGTGAGACTATTTGTAAATTGTCAAGCACCGCGCTGGAATCTCCATTCCAGTCTCTCTTTGATGATACTGGATCTGGTTTTTCCTTTTGATATTGCTTTCTATCTCGGAAAAAAAGGAGAACCCCCCAATTTGCTGAGAACTATGGCTTTCCAATAACCAAACAAAACAACCCCAAAAAAATGTCCGCCAAAAAAAAGAAATCAACTTCAAGAAAAGAGAAAGAGAGCGCAAGCAGGCAAATCTGGGCTTCATCGCTAATTTGGCTTTTGTTTTCCCCCCTCTACCTAGACAATGGCGGAGGATGGAGGTGTTCGTGGTGCATTGAAACTCGTCGGCGAAGTGGCTTTTTTTTTTCCCTTTAGTCTTTTTTTTTTGCTCTTTTAGTCTTTAACTATTTCCTTGGCCCCTGATTATGTTATTTTTTCCTCATTGTCTAATTTCAAACTGTGTTAACTGTTTCTTTGATTCCATGCCGTGATGGATCTGTCTTGGTTACGGATTCTCAGTGCCATTCGGTTCGTATTTTACACCGCTATGGCCCTGGCTGGATTGCATTATGTATGGTATGGAGCAATCGGATCCTGTTCCTTTGGACTGTCTTGCTTGTAGTCGTAATTGTCTATAGACTTGGGTTGTGCTCTCTGTCTCTACCATGTAGTACGCGAGGTCCGTCCCATGATGTACAGTCTTAGGGCAAATGCAGTAAAGATAAAAGTATATTCTCGGTTTCTAGGTATTAATTTGGATATATAGTCTCAAGCAGCAGCTCTCTGAGTGCTTGAGTCTAGTTTAATCTTAAAAGTCTAGCTCAAACGGTATATATTCTAGGATGTTAAGGTTACGATCAGATCTGTCAGATATATTCCCACGTTCAACCACATTCAATTTATTTTGATATTCTGCATGGAGACTGGTGCTTCGTTCTAAATCTGGCTAATATACTTCCAAACTAAAGACCTATATACCTTGGCGTGCATAGAGAGAAAGTAAAAGCAAAAAGTTCGATGACTTGCATATCAGAGGTCAATGCCACAATCAAGGGACTTTTGACAGACACTGTGGCTGGTTTGATTAGGGTCTTTGCATTACCGCCATAGCGGGGTGTATACTAGGTACTTGGGTAATTGGTATTTCCCAGGGTGTGAAGTTGTGATTACAAAGAGAGCGTGGGCACATTGTATCAAAGTCTTACATTCATTCGGAGCTATATAATCGAAAGGGGTGGTATCATATCATAGTATCTTGACAGTGGATGGCATAACACAAAAAGGAGATCAAGATAGGCTTTTTCTCGATCTGGAGGCAGGAGCAAGGAAAGAAACCCGTGGATGGCGCGCTGTATGTCCGAGGAAGGACTACTGTACATGGGCATTGAAAAGCGAGAAGCAAAGAAAATTCTGAGGAGGTAGTATCCTGGGGGTAGGGCATTGAAGGTCGGAGCGAAGGTGGACGTTATGTGGAAGCCAATGAGGGAAGAGTATAATAGAGAGGTATCAGGGGGGTGGCGATGAGTGAATGGTATCGGATCCAGGAACCGGGGTTCCCTGTGTATAACGTGTTTGTGGAAGACGGAGAGCAGAATGCGGTAGTAAGGATGAGGAAGGATCGTCTTCTGGGTCTATTTCAGCCTGACTGCCCGCCTGCGGGCTGCTCCATCGAGACAGATATTGTCTCCCAAATTTCCAGGCATTAGTCAGAGCCTTCCTTGAACCAACAAGAAGACCAGAATTGGCGTCAGATGAACGAAGGGCAGGGGAATCGTCACCCCAGTGGGCTTCATTGCCATTCTCTTGGATGGTTCCGTACCCACCGACTTCTTGGCTAGACGACGATGTAAACGGACCCCCGGTCGCCCGGCGTTTACGATGGGCGGCTGACAATCCACCCTGAGGTGCTGAGACGCGACGCCATTGGTTCTCACGCAGTGATCCCTGGACTCGGTGAGACGCCCTTTCGCGCTCGTGTGGGATAACACCAATCGTGGAGTGTCGTGCCAGGCCTCGTAATGGGCCTTTTAGGGTTGTACTCCCACCGGCGCTGCGTGGACGATCTGTCGAAGATCGTCTGTGCCCATCAGTGGATTCATAGTCCGAATCATCAAGTTCAGCCCAAATAGAGGCGGGGTTTAGATCGACCGAGTCGCGATCAAAGTATAAATTGAGCGGTAGGCTCGGAGCTCTTCCACGCTGATATGAAAGATGTCGAGTATGGGTCTTAGGGTTGAGAAGTGGCTCGCGTTCCCCAATCCGTGATTCCTCATCATTGCCGTCCAGCAACCCAGGTGATGACGAAGAGTGCTCTTCCACGATTGCCATACCTGGCCCAAGTCCGGTCTGTGTGGAACCCACGGTGGTGACAGCAGCGTGAGTATCGATATCCTCAAGTCGCCATGACAGACACAAGACACCACCTAGGAGGATAATTGTTCCCAGAGCGATGAGACCGGCGTGGAGGCCCGCCAGTTGAGACACTTGCCGGAAGTAGATCAGGCCATCCATGATGGCAATGATGTTGTAGATGCAGAACACAAAAGGATATAGTACACTAGTACTACACAGCTTTAATCCACGATGGAGATAGAACAATTGTGTGAGCGCTAGGACGATCATCCCTAGTAGGATAACCCATGATTGCCAACGATTGAACTGGTTCACACGGTCTACCACTGTGCGCACGAGAAGCTCCACTGCCGACTTTGCCAGCAATAGGGAGTGAGCTGACAATATGCCGCTGACGAATCCATAACTCATGCCGCGGATCAATCTCATTCGGCTTTGTAGTCGCAGCAGGCGTGGTGAAAAATGACCAGAGGCCGAAGGTTTCGCGCGTGAGGATGGCACGAAATGTTCTAGCATTTTGATGCCTATAAGTACCAAAATAACTAGCAGGGTGGTGGCACCCATCCATAGCAGAAAGGGCCGTCGCTGGAGAAGGGCCAGGAGTTGATCTAAGCTATGTGCGGGTTCCCCGATGGCGCCGAAGGTCCCAATCAACAACGCGCCGATGCAGACAAGAATTGTGCCTGCGAGAGAATATCGAGTAAAGGGTTCACCAAGAATGAGAGTCGCAAATATAGTATTGAAAACCAGTCCAGACTATTTGTTCCCATCAGCAACTGATCTCCGCCGTCCATGGAGGGGGAACTACTGACCGCTTGGAGCGTGGAGAGAACTGGCAGTGGAAGTGTGGTAATTTGGATGGTGCTTCCAACAATATTGGAAATCACAAACATCCCCATTCCTACTTGCCATCGTCGGCGCTTGTAGGGGGGTCTTCGCACATCGTAGGGGTGCTTCTCTTCCTCGAGTAAATGCGACTTGCGCTGGAGTGTGAGCCCGATAGCTTGGAGGCTGGTTGATACAAGTCCAACGAGTACACCAACCTGATAATTGCGTTAGTTTTTGATATTGTCCCGCAGTATTTTCTGGATTCTGTGGCCTTACCGCAACGCTTCCCTCCGGCGACAAGTCACCTAGATTCCCCATGTTGTGTATTGTGCATTGGTCGGGTCAAGGGATAGTTGGGAGAGGCGCACCAAGTAGAAGAAACTAACGGACTAAAGAAGCCATAACTCAAATAAAACTATAGGGAATGATAGGATCACGCTGAAAGGGTTGTCGAGGGGGGAGTGCGGAGGACCTGGATGCGGAACGCCAAGGCAACGCAATCCAAGCTTAGTTGGACACAACATCCTTTCCCTCTTCCCCACGTCATTCCACCCCCCAACAAGCTATTCAGCAGTGAACCGCCGAAATGTCACAAAGCCATGCTCTTTCAGATGACCAGGTAAGTTCGCCGTTTACTCCAGGTCCCCTGAAGCTTGAGTTGGGCTGATGGCGATTGAATCCAGGTCGCGGGCGAGCTCCGCAAGATGACCGCCTTCATCAAGCAAGAAGCCCTCGAGAAGGCCCGAGAGATCCAGCTGAAGGCCGACGAAGAATTTGCGATCGAAAAGTCCAAGCTGGTGCTCCAGGAAACTACCGCCATCGATACCCTTTACGAGAAGAAGTTCAAGCAGGCCTCCATGTCCCAGCAGATCACCAAGTCCACACTCGCCAACAAGACCCGACTCCGCGTGCTCGGTGGTCGTCAGGAGCTGCTCGATGAGCTGTTCCAGGATGCCCGTGAGAAGGTTTCCAAGGTGGCTGCCGGCGATCAGACGAAGTACCAGGCCATGCTCAAGGGGCTGGTCCTCGAGGGCCTGTATTATCTGAATGAGGATACTGTTGCGGTTCGCTCGCGGAAGAAGGACTTCGATGTTACCAAGAAGGCTATTGAGGAGGCGACTAAGGAGTACAAGGACAATGTTGGTTCGGAGGTGACTGTGACCTTGGACGAGTCGGAGCCATTGCCAGAGGGATCGTGAGTTTTATTCGCTCCCCCTCCTATGTACGCCAAGGATGCTAACTACTTTACAGTGCTGGTGGTGTGTTTATTGTCGGCGGGCAAGGCAAAATTGAGATCAACAACACTTTCGAGGAGCGTTTGCGGTTGCTGGAAATTGATGCTCTCCCTGCAGTCCGAGAGACACTCTTCGGCAAGAACCCGAACCGGAAATTCTACGACTAAGTGTGTATTACTTGTTCTATCTTGGGTTTCACGTTTGCGGTTGCTGTATTTCGTGTTTTATAGTTCGGATAATCTTTGCCTCTCTTGGTCATCTTTATAGATAGAGGGGTTTCTTTGCACAGTTCAAGTCTGATCTCGAATATGTCGAACTCTTTTAGCGATCGTTTTCATTCCATGTTCTTGGCTACACTGGTATTCTGTAATAAAACGCTTGGGGGAAGAATGCCGCTCTCGAGCGCATGATCATAAGGGTCGTAAGTCATAAGATGGCGGTAGAAGGAAAAGATGGGTATTTCGACATCTCAGTCCATTCGCGAGGTATTTCTGTTTCTTCTTCAGTAAATGGATATTTTGGGACTCAAACTGCCAATGTGATCAGGATGTCTGATCATGCACACGGATGGGAATCTCTGTGTCACCATTATCCGCGTTGCCTGGCGCCGCAGACGGATTTGTTTCTTGCCTGGTCTCGGGATTTTGCTTTCCAGCAGCAATTGCAGCAAAGTTGCTGAAATGGCTCCGAATGTTACCATCTCTCTGCTTTACATGTGACTCGAAAATTGTGGTTTTCGGTGGTGGCTTGGACCGAACAGAATAAACAATTCGGTAATGCAAGGCCTCGAGTTCACTTTTCGCTACCGTACGTGTCACATGTGAGGCCCCGGAATCCTGAATAGAGCAGAAGATCTTCTTGATCTGAGCTGCCAGCCTGTCGATGGCAGCGTTGTAGTCTTCCTCGTTTTGTGTACTGCTGAAATTTACCTCCAACGCAGATGAATCAATCGCGACATTAAGAAGGGCAGTAAGTGAGGTTAATTCCCTCCAGTCGTAGTCGGCTATACCCTTGAATCGCTCGACTTGGAAACGCTCGTCGCGGAGCAGTAACAGTGTGATGCGTTTGATATCAAGCAACCTTTCAAGGGGTTCGGTGAGGGGATCAGGACTGGGTAACAGAAACGCGACGGCCAGGCGACATCGTATCAGTGCAAACCATGGAGATGTAGGTAAGATATGATGGACAATTTGACTCTGGATGCAAACATCATGTACCGTGTTGTAGAAATTGGCACAGACTCGACGCAACTGATATCATTAGCTATGAGTGTGATACAGCATATAGGAGAATACGCACCGAATCTTCGGCGCTGGTTTCTTGGAAATTCTCAGGATCCAACACAGCGTTGATCGTCCACTGAAGCTCCGAAGATACCGTGGAATCCGCTGTCAAAGAAACATCAAGAGTGAGGCGCAGCAGTAGGAGTACCACCTGTTCTTGGGTATCTTCTGCAAATCTACAAATGTGTAAGGCTTGCATTGTTAGGGTTTGGGGATTGGACACTCACAAGCCAGCAGTTTCTCTAAGCAATCTTAGGACTGAAACAAAGGTAACATGGTCTTTCAACGCAGAATTCGGAGTAATATCTGACAACATTTATTAGTAAGATCCAGAGCCACAAGCAACATAGCCAGTCATACATTGGGAAGGAACTGGGATAATCTCCTTGGAAGGATCTAAAGCCTGGCTCCGAGCACCCAATCGCGAGAACATGTCATTTATATCGGCTGGACGGATGAGCAACCTTAGGCGCTCCACATCCATATTCTTATATATTCAGTCAGTCAATGCGGGTAGAAGATCGATATAAGAGCATTGACAAACCTTAATAATTCGGTAATAAGCGTTGCTCAGTTCCTCTCGACGCTCATAGGGTACTTGAAAGTATATTAGCTTCGTGTCAATGAATAAAGGATGCTATAAGACGAACTGGAACGAAACATCCACAAAATGAATTCGTCCGGCAAAAGTCCCTTGGACAAAGCCATTTGAATAAACTCGCCTGACATGAACTGGCGCTCGCGGGTATCGGATTCTACAAATTGGTCAGCATGTAGAAACAAGAACATTGACTCGTTTGAAGCTCACCCCTTAATATGTCCATACTCGTCCCAGGTGCGAACAGATCCTTTGGAAATTGGGGGGCAGGCGGCAATGTTTGTGTGCAATCAAAGAATGGCCAGGCACGGCCGCGGTCAAGAGCATTGGTTCTTCTAATAGCACCTATTATATGTTGACCTCCAACGCCATCTTCATTCTCGCCAAGCGCTGAGATCAACATGGTTTCATTCAGAGCATATCCAGTGCTGGGTGGGTTGTTTCCGGGCTCCTTGCCGTTCAGTTCCTTCGGCGCATAATTGGCTCTCGCCCGAGCGACACTGGCTTCCACCTCATTATCATCTACTGCATCGTGAACGAGAGAGTCAATGTTGTGTCTGTATTTCTTTGGCGACAATATCTTGGGGAATTTGGCCGGCGTGAACTCGTCCTTCTTCTTAGACTTTGGGGCGAAAAGATTCTTTGGGTCTTCCAAGGAGCATATCGAATCTGTGTCTTCTCCATCAGAGCTGATGACTATCTCTTTGCCATCCTTGATGATGCGCTGAGATCCGTTGAAGCTCTCGCTCAGAGAGGAGAACCCGGTGGCCGACTCAATGCTTTGGAAACTTTGATGCAATGTAGAGGGTTGAAATAGGGTATCCTGAGTTGACAGATACAGCGCCGCGTTTACGTGGGCTTCAGCATCTTGTTCGGATTCTGGTGATATCTGATCGAATACAAAGGAAGAGGGGGGTTCGGTGAGGGGTGATGATTCAGTTGCGAGTTCGGCACTTTCTTTTTTCTCAGGTGTACCGTTCGAGTTGACACGAGTGAATGCAGGCCTGTTAAACCACAATTCCTTTATGGTCCGCATGATGGGTTATGTTGAGGATTTCCATTAAAAAAAACGAGGCATATCGCGTCGTCAACGCGCCGATTAGGCGCGATGTCACATGAGCATTACTGACTCAGCAGAGTTTTCTTTGTTACAGAGCGATAACGTTGAAACGCTAACAACCCAATCACGTTCTTTGAGACCAGTCGAACTCACATTAGGTCAAATCGAGAGCACTGAATTGACATGTGATCAATATACATTGTGAGTACAGACAAATATCTTTTACTAACTAAAACATACTTCGCTACAAAATATGTTATATGTTGTACATATGTATCGTACAATATTGTAGATCTGACAGCCACATTCTTGGTGGCGTCGATCTGCGGCTAATCTGGTCTATTATGTATTACTAGTATTACTACTCATACTAACCAGGTGTAAGTTCCAATTTCATTGATCGACATCAAACTTGCGATGGAAGTGGTCGATTCTTTCTGATATTTCACGGTGTTAACCTACTACGTACTAGTACATAGTAGGTAGTACTCCGTACTAGAGGTAATAACACTCCAATTAAGTTTAGGCTACACATCGGGTCCACTAGTATAGTTCGTCGTCCACCAGGTTGATAACACCATGTCGGATAAATACAATGTCGTGCATGGATGTTGTATGGAGTTAAGTGTAAGCACGCTATTTGAACATTGCACTTTATACAGAATCTGGCGGCTTTTTTTTGGAAAAAAAAAAAAAAAATCAGATCATTGCGAGATCTGTGTTTTAAGCATTTAGAATGACACCCCTGTGAGACATGGGTATTTTGTACTTTGTGTACTAGTAAAAAGGGGGCACATGAGTCTCGGGTAACATGTAAATCCTACTCCGTCCGGAGTACGGAGTGTGAAGACGGTGATCATTAGGTTTGTTTAGGAGTATTTCTCCTGAATTATGGCTGAATTTTTTTTTCCTATTTGCCAAGAAATAAGAACCGGGATGCATACTGTAACATAAAAAATTAATACACAACATAAAAGAAAGGGTCCAATGAGATTGTGACCCATACGGAGTAACTATGCATATAAAGTACGGGAATGGCAGAACTACTCCGTACTTCCGTTGTACTTTGTACAATATTTTATACCACATACTTTTATCGTACTATATGATTTGTACCAGAAATAAGAAAGCTGACTCAGGTG